AGATTATATTGCCCATAACAATTCCCCCCTTCTGCTGATTTCAAGTACCACTGAAATGATTTTTCTTTATCTTTTGTTGTTCCAATCCCATATTCATAACAATGACCAAGACTATTTTCTCCATAACTATTTCCCCTTCCAGCTGATTTCAAGTACCACTGAAATGCATTCTCTTCATCTTTTATTGTTCCAATTCCATTTCTATAACAATGACCGAGATTATTCTGACCATTTCTATTTCCCCCTTCAGCTGATTTCAAGTACCACTGAAATGCTTTTTCTTCGTCTTTTATTGTTCCAATACCATTTCTATAACAACGACCAAGATTATATTGTCCATAACTATTTCCACCCACAGCTGACTTCAAGTACCATTGAAATGTTTTCTTTTCATCTTTAATAGTTCCGATTCCATTTTCGTAACAATATCCAAGATTATTCTGACCATTACTATTTCCACCTTTTGCTGACTTCGAGTACCATTGAAATGCTTTCAATTCATCTTTTGTTGTTCCAATCCCTTTTTCATAATAGCGTCCAAGATTATATTGTCCATAACTATTTCCCCCTTCTGCTGATTTCAAGTACCACTGAAATACTTTCTTTTCATCTTTTTTTGTTCCAATCCCATATTCATAACAATGACCAAGACTATTTTGTCCATAACTATTTCCTCCTTCAGCTGATTTCAAGTACCATTGAAATGCATTCTCTTCATCTTTTATTGTTCCAATTCCATTTCTATAGTAATGACCGAGATTATTCTGACCATCATTATTTCCTTCTTCGGCTGATTTCAAGTACCACTGAAATGCTTTCTCTTCATTTTTTGTTGTTCCGATACCTTTTTCATAATAGCGTCCAAGATTATATTGTCCATAACTATTTCTACCTTCAGCTGACTTCAAGTACCACTGAAATGCTTTCTCTTCATCTTTGATTGCCCCGATTCCGTTTTCATAACAAAATCCAACATTATTCTGTCCATCATGGTTTCCCCCTTCAGCCGATTTTAAATACCAGTGAAATGCGGTTTGAACATCTTTTGCAGTTCCAAATCCATGTTGATAACAATACCCAAGATTATTCTGACCTAAATGGTTTCCTCCTTCGGCTGACTTTAAGTACCATTGAAATGCTTTCTTCTTATCTTTTGTTGTTCCGAACCCATTTATATAACAATGTCCGAGATTATATTGCCCATAATTATTTTTACCTTCTGCTGATTTCAAGTACCACTGAAATGCTTTTTCTTCATCTCTTATTGTTCCAATTCCATTTCTATAAAAAAAACCGAGATTATTCTGGCCATTACTATTTCCACCTTTAGCTGATTTCAAGTACCATTGAAATGCTTTTTCTTCATCTTTTGTAGTTCCAATCCCATTTCTATAACAACGACCAAGATTATATTGTCCGTAACTATTTCCATCTTCAGCTGACTTCAAGTAACATTGAAATGTTTTCTCTTCATCTTTAATGGTTCCGATTCCATTTTCGTAACAATACCCAAGATTATTCTGACCATTACTATTTCCACTTTCAGCTGATTTCGAGTACCATTGAAATGCTTTCTTTTCATCTTTTGTTGTTCCAATTCCTTTTTCAAAATAGCGTCCAAGATTATATTGCCCATAACTATTTCCCCCTTCTGCTGATTTTAAGTAACACTGAAATGCTTTTTCTTTATCCTTTATTATTCCGATCCCATATTCAAAACAATAACCAAGACTATTCTGTCCATAACTATCTCCACCTTCAGCTGATTTTAAGTACCACTGAAATGCTTTCTCTTCATCTTTTGTGGTCCCAATTCCATTATGATAACAGACCCCAAGATTAAATTGTCCATTATTGTTCCCTCCTTCAGCTGATTTTAAGTACCACCGAAATGATTTTTCTTTATCCTTTGTAGTTCCAATTCCATGTTCATAACATTTTCCAAGATTATTCTGTCCATAATGGTTTCCCCCTTCGGCTGATTTTAAGTACCAATGAAATGCTGTTTGATCATCCTTTGTAGTTCCGATTCCATGTTGATAACAATATCCAAGATTATTTTGACCTAAATGGTTTCCCCCTTTAGCCGACTTCAAGCACCATTGAAACGCTTTTTCAATATCATTTATAGTTTTATGTTCATTGTGATGTGCATTTTCCATTTATACAAAGATTTGATAGCAAACTAAAAGTTATAATAAGATTTATTGAATTTAAGTCTTGTCTTTTAATTATTTAAAGTTTGGAACGGAATCTAGATTTTAAATGTGATGAATCAGATAATCAAGGTCATACGAGATATTATCAATTAATTTATATGTTTTATGTGTTTTATTTGCAATGCATATAAGAATATGAGATTATAGATTTATTAATGTCAGATATTGATTTTTCATATTGAACGATTCTAAATTCATATGCATAGCATATGAACTTCTAAAATAAGTCCAATGTACAACATTTGATCTTCATACTGAAATTACGTAAGATTGGATTTGCTGTTTTTCTTAATAGAATGGTTACACTTATCAAATTTAGATTGTTTGTACAACTGATAATCATACATATCTAAAGATTGTAAGTTGGACTAATAAATTCGAATTTTGTCTGTAGAAGTTATTCTCATATACTAAAATTTTAGATCAAAAAAAAATAGCATAAATGCAAGAGGATGTTGCAACGAGGTACTGTAACAACAAAAGTGGTAATATGTTATGAAAGAGGATCATATAAGTTCATTTGAATTTTGAATACTTTTACGTGCCTTTCTAATCTGTAGAACTTATAATCTGATTCCAATCTACTATTCCAATTTTCGAAATGCAACTTTGTTTCTCAAATATTGGATTAGGATTCAATAGCATTTTATGCATTATGCGTAATTAGATAAAAGAATTATAAAATATATAAAATATATAATGTTATGAATAAATGCGATTTTTTGCATATGCAATTTTTCTTTTTTTTCAAAAAAAAAAAAAAAAAATTTTCGACCTTTCATCATAAGCAAACCAAAAAATGGTATATGTATATGGCATATGCCCACTGAACTCGAAATATTTTTAAACTGATTTCAATAATTGGACAAGTGAAAATGACAAAATAGATAAATTCATTCGAGATGCTCAACTAAATGTTAATAAATCTTGGGGCGTAATAGAATGGATACCTTATGATGGATTTAAGGATGTTAAATATGTAGAGATGTTTTGGAAAAATTCATTGATAGGTGGAAAATAAAAAATGTAAAAGAGATAATAATACAAAAGTGGCATTTTAATCAATATTTAAATTTGATTTTTAAATTTTTAGAATAGGTTTTAACTATAAATTTAAATTTTTTAAATTATTAGATGTCAATTCACTTAAAAGTACGGACTAAAGGACTTGAATTATCAAGATTTAGTAATCATGGATCATTAATATCATTAATAGGAAGATAAATTACAAATGAGAAAAAAAATAAGAAAATATCAATTAGAGAATATGAAAAGAAATCAATAGTGCCAGTGAGATTATATTCATATATTTGATATATTAAAATTATAATGGTGAATCAAAATTAAATCATGAGAACAACGAGCAACAAAATACTTCACTGAAGCACTTTAACATCAAAAGCACGGATCATCAATTATTCCATGCGCTCATTTCTTGAAAAGAATTAATGTTTCTTAAACTATTGTTTAGTAGGTTCATTATAGTTTAGCATAGTAGGAAGAATCGACTTGTGAATGCTTAACACTGTAAATTGGTGGTAATAAAGTAATTCGATTATCCTCTTCATATGGTATTACATTGAGGATTAAACTAGAAATTAATGGATCTCATTTTCTTCGCGATGATTTTATTATTACGCATTAACGGTTTCCCAACTTATCTGATGCTACAGGTGATAGTAATAAATTTTCATTTTGTTATTAGAAGAAGTAATAGTATTACTATTATTTTGTTATTGTTATTATTAAATAATAGAGATAACATTATTAAATCAATCATTTCCGCTAACATTCCAAACAATAATATATTATTATTAATTTAAGGAGTGTTGAAACTTAGAGGAATTTACCAAAATTAGAAATTATTACGGGTTTTTGTTTTTTTTAACTCGCCTGCGTTTTTACGAATGGGTTTTATTAGGTGACAAATATGACTACCACATGCTAAAAAGATTTTCAACGGGTGACAAATTTTCACCCTACCTTAACCCTTGCATTTATACATAAGATAAAAAAACTTATGTTCAACCAATAAAATTTGATAAAGTAGCCTTAACGCAGAGAATCGCATTTTTAATATTGGAAAATATAAAATTTATTCTATTTATTATTCAAGCGTCATTAGGTGTTCCAGAACTATTTTTTAAAGTATTTAGAATATTTGAAGCTAAAAAAAAAAAAAAAATTGAAAATCTAACCATACCTTGAAAATATAGTAACATAAATTAAAAATGGATTTTAAAAAGATACACCTTTTCACAAGGGATTTTTCTAATTATCAATACTTGCAGCATCACCTTCCTCAAGAATCTAGATTCGTTTAAATAAAGTAACCAATACTTAGTAATTTAATTTATAGGATCATTGAAAGGTCTTAAATAAAATAAATTTATAAAAATAAACTCTTCATTGATAGTTTTGAATTACAATAATTCTTCTCTTTAGCACGAATAAAATTAGGTATTAACTAAAATAAAGATAAAATTAGTCTATAGTTTTTTTAAATAAAAATTAAAGATCATATTACCTCTATCTTTTAATTTTGTCAAGATTATAAAAAAATTATTTTAATTAAACTATTCTTTATAATATTTATTTAAATACAAACATTTAAAATTAATCTTTCGGTGCATGAGTTAATATAAAGTCTAATCAACAAGACATTTGGATTTTTTCTTAAACTAAAAATGAAAATAATTTACATTCCTATGTTTTTATATTCAATATTATTCTGATTCCGACCAACAAGACAGTAAAATGCTTTTCAAAACAAGTTCTTTTCTAAATTTGATATGCTCGTGTATTTGAGAATTGACCTTTTCCCAGTCCTGGATTAGAGATAGCTGATAGGGATGCTTCTATTTTAGGTATTATCTTTTGGAATATAAAGTAATAAATATTGTTCTTTTCAAAAAAAATTTTTTTTTTAATAAACATATTTCCTTAGAACTTGTGTTTTCTTCCACTTTCTTGTTTAGACCATTTTTTTTAATGTCTAATTGACTCATCTAGTTCTTTGATGCAGGCAATTGACTAGAATCTTTTGATAATTTGAAGTCGGCAATGAGGACATAAAAAAGGAGAAAATAAAGGAAGGAAGATTATAAATAGTCTATGTAAATTAACTATTATATACTTTTATATTGAACTTTTTAACTTTTATATACTTATAATACTATTTTCAATCCTAATTATAACTAATAACTTTATATGCTTTAATAACACCGTTTGTATAGTCATTACTATAATTAATTAATAAAGTTAAGCATTTGTAATGCAATGAATCCAACCGAGAAAAATTTTATGAATGGCAGCAAAAAGATAAAGAAAGAATTAGGCTTCGTGTTTCCAAGTCTACAAGAACAAGACATCGAAAATTGTTTAAAGTTCGGGTTCCACACTGAATCCAGATGAATCTTTGGTTACAGATGTTTACCATATAGAAATATGATAATTGAATCTGATAATTACGCATCCTTGGGTCTATAGACCTTGTTTATCAACCTTTCAAATGAAAGAAACCTCAAGTTTTACAATTGTAAATTTTTTTAAGTTCTGAAATTAATACCAGATTCTTTAGATGTGACCCTAATTTGGTATATGAACTTATTCATTGGACAATGATTAAAACTTCTTTCATTTCAAGATTATGGACTACATGAATTTATTTGATGCATATACTATTAGCGAATATATCTCAGTTCTTGAAGATGATTTAAATCAATTATTCGTGTATTGGTTTTTAAAAATCAATAGAACTTATTATATTGTGGATAAAGATTACAAAGAATTAAGTTGATATAGAAAATGACTCCAATGTTGATGAATAATAAATATAAATTTAATAAATTTATATTAAAAATTATTATGTACATTTATTGTCCATTTTTCTTACATTTTCAAAAAAAAATGAAATGAACAAAAATGGTTATTAAAATTTCAATATACATTTTATATGCTATTTTGCCATAAATTAAGAATAAAAAAAAAATAAAAAATGTTGTACACTTTTTTTTATAAATAATAATAAAAAATGGCATTCTATGATGGTGTTACCTTATTTCATTTATTCTTTTCTTTTATTATTATTAGCATTTATTTATTTATTACTTATTATCTTCTTAATTGATATATTAATAGCTATAAAGCTATAATTATAAATATATATTAGTCATGTAGAACCAATTATAATTTATTACTTAAAATATTATAGCGAAGTGGCACAAGTGCCACTGAGAGATATACAAGAATTTTGAAATAATATGGAAGTCACAGGAGATGACAGTTAGATGACAGCGACCCTTGATGCGTGTGCTACCATCCAGGATGACAGATTATTCATCATTGTATATTAACTTTTATCCTTGTGCATCATCCTCAAAGAAAAGAGAAAAATTTGTTTAAACATGACAACAAAGGATAGAAGAAAACAATCTGAAAATGTATAAAATAGCTAGTAACCTGGGTTATAAAAGGGGATGGACTCCTACTGCAATTTTTAGACTTTTATAATTTTTCTTTGATAAATTTTGGAGATTTACAAACATTTATAGAAGCCAAATACAACAATAAAAGTAATAATAATAATAATCATAATTTTGAAAGTAGTCAGAATATTCTGTAATTCTCTCTTGTCAATGATAAATTTTATCTTCATGATAATGGTAATATTGGTGAGAAACGGTTAACAGCCCATAATGCCTCTATTACCAATTTTGTTATAAATTTTGTCTTTGTAGTAATGGTAATATTGGTGAGAAACAGTTAACAGCCTGTAATACTTCTATTACCAATTTTGTAATAAATTTTCATAAACTGTTTTATTTTGTGAATAAAGTTACTGCATAAAGTTTGAAGTTAAGATTCAAAAGTTTGCATAGTAAGCTATGAGAGGATACTTTTATTCCACTTACTCACATAACTTCAGATTACACCTGTGTGCATGGTTATAAAACTATTTTAGTAGTCGTCCACAGCATTTAGACAAGTGACAACTTGATCCTAACTGTGAAAAGAGTATATTATTATGTATAACATACTGTATGCAAGAGTGTAAAAAGGGATATAATACAAATTTGATTTAGTGAGACTGATTGCCATAACTATACTTTACAGTGAAATAATTACATCAATTATGTCAATTAGTAAAACAAATATGTCAAATTACATCTGTGAATTATTTTACTTAGTAATACCTATAAAAAAGTGTAAAAAGTCAAATTATGTCAAATAATTAAAGCCATAACTTTACTTTGTGTTCTGGGCAAACTGCCACAATAGAGATCCTGTAATATTCTTTGATGTACATTTGTATACAGATTGCCATTATTTTAAAGATTATTTCAAAGAAATTTATGTATATAAAGGATGGATTTCCACCACCTTTGAAAAGTTTAGTTTGAATTAGTTTGAAAATGACTTAAAAATTGAATAAGTTAGAAATTCAGAACTCAATATTAATAATAAATTATTAATAAAGTCTTCGTGACAAATAATAATTTAAACCCTTCGTGATTTCTTAGTGAAAAACCTTTTTGTAATTGCCCTGTTTTGTGATGTTGGTATTATTCTTTGGGATTATTATTCTGCTTCATGATCAGAATAGATAATTTGTTAAGCTCTGCTTTGTGTTCCGAACATTTTCCTTGTGATAATATTTACTTTGCTTCGTAATCTTAGTAAATATCCCCTTGGTGAATTTATTCTTCTTTGTGAATAAGGATACTTAGTTTATTAGTTAGTATTTTGTAATATAGTTTATTGTTTTAGTTAGTTTAGTTGATATTATAACTTTAATGATAAGTTATATTTATAAAATCTCACACCTTCCTTGCCTCTTTCAAATAAAAACCCACATTTCCAAGTCCTTTACCTTTTATACTTGTATAATAGTATAAACCTTTCAACTTTAACACATTTTTATAACTGCTTTTGTCCTCTTATACATTAGTTTCCCTTTATTAATTGGTTGTTATTGTGCTTTAATAAAGACAAATCATGTTCAACAATGTGTATTTTATGAACATGAAAATTATGCACAAAATTTTACTTTTTTTTAGATAGCTCGAAATAAAATGTATAATGTATGCTATATAATATTGAACAAACAGATTTCATAAGTAGAAATTTTAATAAATTTATAAAAAAAAATAGTTCTAAATTAATGACATTTTATTAGTTAACTAAAGTTAATGATTAAAAAAAAATGCATTTGATAAACTACTTTGAGTTTAAATTGTAAATGCGGACATTTAATTTTACATAATTTTATTTTCAGATGAATTATATTTTATTGTTAATTTTTTGTATCAATATTATTAAATTGTAAATAAATATACATATGAATAAAGTAATCATTTTTAAATTTTAATTATTTATAATCAATAAATATAAATATAAATTTCATTAATTATATTTTTGAGAATCGAAATTTCTAACTAGTTTTCTTAATAACCTTAAATACTTCATAATCAACGATTAAGAAATTATGGACCATGAATATTATGATAAAACTTGCAAATATCCAAAATTGCATAATCACGAATTTTTACTCTGCTAAGTATTTTTCAATGAGAAAATAAAGCTATCATTAGTATTTTCCCACCCACTACCACAGCTTTAGGAAGATATCAATCTGCTCATGACCGACGGTCAGAAAGACTAGTTTTGGTTGCAGAATCGCCTTTCTCATACAATTGAAGAAACTTTTTCAACTATAATTAAATTTAAAATGAGTGATTATTCAAACAACAAAATGTCATATAATTTGAAGCTATTTTAAATGGGACTAAAAATAATTTTCTCCACGAACATTTTAGAATATCTTTCTGATATGGTCATGCTCATACAGTAGTTTAGAAGCAGATAAAATTATTGGAGGTTATAATCCTTTAGCATGGGATAATTTTTAAATGATAAATGGATGCAAACGATTGATAATTAAAAAGTTTAAGAGATAAAAAAAAAATTATTCACATTTTATTCATTGTGTGTTTATAAAATCAAATTGCCAAAACTTAATTTTCCAAAATCGAAGATTTTAACGGATTAGAGGGAGCTTTATTTCCCAGAGTAAAAATATATCTTATGTAAAATTCCATTTTGGGATTACCAGGTATACGACCGCCCATATTTGAAATTTCTATTAGAAGTATCAATGTTTTTTGTACTGATGATTGATGATGATGATGATGGCAATGATCAGAGGAAGAAACTAACGAAGTTCTCCAATAATAATGTGGTTTGAGAAGCAATTACCAAGTAATACCCACCCCTGAAGATGTTTATATAATATTTTTATATGATTTTATTTTTATTTTTATGTATACTTTTTGTTTTTCTGCATTTTATCACTTTTTTCTTTTTTATTTTTGCTTACAAATCAATTTGGAATAAAAAAATAAATTTTTGGATATAAAAAAAAATGTATAAAACTAAATTTTTAATTATTTTATCTTTTATTTGCAAACTTAAATTAAACTATTTAATTATTGTATTTTTATTGCAAATGCAGTCATTAAAATTTTCTATTTATGAAGCGATAAATTTGTAAACGAATAAGATTCAGATAATTTTAGAAGAAAGTTTTTTGAAGATAAAGTAATAAAAAAAAATCCAGAGACAATTTACTTTCTTCCAGAAGAGAAAGGTATAACCTCTCAACATTTAATTTGTTTAACTCAATTAATTAAATTGTTTTTTATTTAATTAAATATTTTCTCCATAGTCAGAATGAACTTTGAAAGAGGCGATGTGGATCGGATACTTTTTTTTCATTTTTCTGTGAATGATGGAATGATGTGAATATAAAGAATAAAATGAATGTGATAAACTATTTCGAAGAATTCATCATGTTCAAATTGAGGAACCAAACATTTATCTCAAAAATAAACCAAATATGCGGTAAACTACAAAAAATAATAATAAATAGCGATAAATAATAAATAGATAAAAAATGAGTAAAAAATGAATAAATAAATAAAAAATGAATAAAATTATGAATAAAAAAATAAATTATAATAATAATAATAATAATAAATAATAATATAAAAAAATATAATAAATTATTAATCAATAAAAATCAATAAAATAAATAAATTTACGATTGAACATATTTTCACCAAATACTCTTCATCTAAACTGTCATCACTTTCTTCCACGGGAGTTTTCAATTCCCCAAATAAATCTTTGCCCCTTTACTTGACATCTCAAGTTTCACTTTTCGAAAAATAGTTTAAATAAAATATATATATGTATGCATACTCGTTTTATTTATTTATAATAACATAAATGCTGAAAGAATTATAAAATAGAATATATTTTAAAAGCGAATTATTGAATAAATCAATAATTTTTAAAAAAATATGAATAAATATACAAATTTTTCATCCGTTACAATGATCATTATAAATAATTAATAGAATAATTCTAAGATTAATAAATAAGAGAATAATATACAAAAGAGGAATGCCAATAGTCAGAAGTAGTTCAATAATTTTGGGATGCATTTTTATTAAGTTTTAAAAATGTAGAAGTCGTTATAAAAATGAGATTAGTTTTTAAACTTTAGAAGTTATTAAATTTCTAGTACTGGAAATAGGTCAATTCCCAATATACAAAGCACAATAAATTTTATAATCTTGCGGTATGCTCCCAATATTGTTGAATATAAAAACATAGTATAAATGCAGAAGTTATCTTTAAGATTAATTATATTTTTTGGTATCATCTGTATCGTTGATTTATTTGCATCGTTTATATTGTTAATTCTCCTACGGAATTTTATAGCCTGTGGATATGTCAACAAAATTATCATTTAAATAAACGAGGTTATATTAATAAATATACGTTTGGATAAAGTAAATACTTTTAAATATTATTTAATTATACTCAATTCAAATATAAAAAAAAATAAACTTATATAAATTTCATTAATTATTACCTGGGATCGAAATTTCTAACTGGATTTTTCAATAACCTTAAATACTTCATAATCAACAATTGAGAAATTATTCATTGTATTTCTTATAGGTATTTCGTAATAACAATCATGATTACACACACTTTTATTATCTAATGTAAAATTAAACATAAGACTACGCATATAAAGATTAGATCCAAAACGTGGACCACAAGTTACTTGATTATTTTTGCTATAATTCAAAATTGCGTAATCACTCAATCTTACTCTGCTAAGAATTGAATTTTGTATGTTGCCATTTTTCAATGAGAAAATAAAACTATCGTTAGTTTTTCCCCACCCATTATTATCAACATTAGCATCCCAAATTAAAGGATTATAACCTCCAAGGATTTCTTCTGTTCCTTTAACTTTCATGATCACTACAGTACTAGCATGACCATGACAGATATCCCAAAACGTTTGAGGGTTAAATCCATTTATACTTCCTCTTAAAATTAATTGAAACTCATATGGTGTATTTGTTAAAGAATAAGTACTCGATTTACGATCAATCCATGAGGAAATTTCAGCTACATGTTCGTAAGTAATAATGGTAGAAAGTAGTTCTGTTGTACGGGTGGGCAATTCTTGAACTAAAATTGTTCTTGGTGGTAAAATTATTGATTTGATTGGCTGGTCAGGAGCCATAAAATACTGATTCAAATCTTCCCATAGTTGTTTGTCAAGAATTTTCTTGTAAGGCTTTATTTTTTTCAGAACATCAATACCAGGAATATGAAAATAATGAATTAGAGGTAGGCATTTTTGAAGAGAAGTTTTTAAAGTTGTAAAGTTTTCTTTATTCCATTCATTAAGGTCTATAGGTAAAGTAGAATTCTGAGCAATTCCCCACTTAATAATATATTCCCAAATTATCACCTCTTCCATTTGTAAATCATTTCGTTTAAGGAGAGATACCAATGCAGATTCTTGAAGAGAACTGAAATCTTCAGCATCAAAAATAAGATTTGGATACTTTGCAATAATATCATTACAAAATTTTTCTAAATCTTTGAAACTATTTTCACTAAAAATTGAACGATAAACTAGAGAAAAATGAGACTTTAACCAAGAGCTTTTAGTTTCAATAAGATGATTTTCTAGTTTTTTGGTTAATTCTTCCATTTCAAATACATTAGCTGCCTTCATTAAATCAAAAATAATCCTTGTTTCTACATTCTCTAAATCAACAATTCCACCATAAATATATCTTTATTGAAATAAATTATTATTTATTAATCTAAGAAACAAATTATTGTTATCAATAATAGCACTTCACTTTTATTAAATAGTATCAACTTACTTTAAAATAATATTAAAAATTTGAGCAGAAATATTTGGTCTGTTAATTGTTTTGATATTGTTTTCATTCGGGATAATATTTTCTAATTCTTTATAAAAATAAGTTGACCGACACTTCAATATATTTGAGTGCGCTGTAAAGGATTTCTCATTCTCTACTTCAACGATCACATTGTAATCATTTTTATCGTTAAGAAGTTCAATAAAATTCTGAGATAATTTTTCAAATAATTTAAAGGACATTTTTTTTTGTAAAATGTGTAAAATGCGGGAAATAAAGGAGGCGAATTCCGATAAATTTATTTGATTTGATAGCCAAAAAAGGAAATTGATATGCATTTCATAATATTTCCTTTTTTGTACGAATTTTGCTAATCGTACAAAAATATTTTTTGAGTTTCGTAGTACAAAATTTTAAATTCATTAAATAAATAGATTCTATTATATTTCCTCGATTAACCTATTGTCGCGGTCTGCGCAGAACAGTGCGGAAAGTTACGCAAATCAGTCTCAATAAATTTAGGATAATCACACAATAATTCAATGTACTACTAACACACTTTCTCTTGTGAGCAATATCTTAAAACACAGCAAGACAGGCAATCAGTCGATCTAAACCTGCTTACTAACACTCTCAAACAATGCAATTACGTGTAGTATCTGAAGGTGCGATGAGCAAGTGGAGTAAAAGTATCTTTAACAACTACTTGCACACTACCAAAACTATTGTAGACTTTTTTTATGTAACTTGCTAAGAAATAAAAGAAATAGTTTATTATATTTTATTGAAGTTTAATATCGGATATAACAGAAGTAATATATTACTGCTTTGGCGTATCTTATCACTTCTGTTATTTCGCTACACTAAATTTATGTTTGAAATTATTACAAAAAAATATAAAAGAAATAAAAGAGAATAACGATAGCGATATGTTACTGCTTTGGCGTATCTTATCGCTTCGCTAGTCCCGCGACTATTTTATTTATTATTATTAAAAAGTATTACGAATGAAAAGTAAAAAAAAAAAAAATAAAACTAAATTAAAATGTTCAAAATATTTAAGTAAAGAAAATAAAACTAAAATTAAAATTGTTCGAAATATTAAGTAAAGAATTTTTATTTTTTGGTTCTTGTTCTTTTTGTCGAAAAGGAATCTCCTTTTCTTTCTTCCCTACCGCAGCTATTTTGTAATTTTTCTCCTTGTTTACCGTCATCCTCTGTCATCCATAAAAAACGTTTTTGTACCAGGATGAATAAACAGTCATCCTGGATGATGGATGACACACAAGGACAATTCATCCAAATAGTGACACCTATCATCCTCTATCATCCCCCGTGATTTTCGTATTTCCCGTGCTACCTCACTATATAATGTCGATCTAGACACGACAAAACGTTATTGTATAATATTAATTATTGTCGTTTATTTATTTTACAAAACACATATGGTGCCGGAAGTCTGTAATCTACAATTTTATGATTTTGTTTCAATTTTTTGTGGTAGGTTGTCTATCATGTGAGAGCAATTTGACCAATTAAGATTTTTGTCAAAAATTTTACAAGTTAAAAATTTAGGTAATGAATTAAAAAAAAATAGAAATTTCAAGGGGAAATGAGAAAGTTCGGAATGTGACTTCAAATTTCGACCTATAAATTGCATCACATCCAAAAGACCTTAAATTTGCTCCGATCATATTTAAATCATATACTTTTAAAGGCTTATAACTTTTACTACAAGCTTCTAAGTAAAATCGACCAATAGTTTGATAGAGCTTGTCTTGAAGAACAAAGTTACCAATCTACTTTTTTTCATTTTTCCTTTTTAAGATGTTGTTAGGTTTTAAAATGATACAATTTGTCGAGTATAAACTTCCGGTACCGTAATAAAAAATTTTTCCGTTTCTATCATTTTGTTACGGTAATTGTTCTCAATTTCACCTTATAAATTTCTAAATTAACCCAATTTATAATTTAGTTGATAAATCACACAGCGAAATTACCTAGAAAAAAGAATTGAACCATTATATAAAGATCAAGAAGAAAAATATCAATATTTTATTATTTGAATATGTACATATATTTAAACTTTAAGATTTAAAATATAAGCCCCATGAACATTATCTTATATTTTATACTATTTAAACTCAAATAGTTTATATCTTTTTTTTTTAATCATTAAAATTATCATCTATTTCAAATCACGCCTCAAATTGCCATTTTCACAAATAAAAAAAAACTCCTGCTATAATATTAACGAAGATGAGAATTAATTTGTTTTTTTTTGTCGCTAAATAGAAAAATAAACAATAAAATAAACAAAAAATAATTTTGTTTCTTTATTATGTTAACGAAATATTCTTAAATAGTATTTATCATGTAACTCTTTAACCTTCACCTAAATACTATTCTTGAGTTCCGCTTACCACTAAGAAAATAAACGAAAACTGCTAATAAAAAAGCAGTTTGTAATAAAATTTAAGATGCATCCACGAACCCGACTCAAAAAGAGAAAGAAGTATTATTACTAAAGAATAAAAAAATACTTACCTTTAAACATGTAAAGATTATTTTTTTCTTAACTAAATAACCAATCAGACATAACAATTGTGTCACCATAAATGTACTGACTCAAATGACAAAATGACCTAAATTGCTTTCAATTAAAGAGATCGTATTGCATAATTTTCTAAAATCCTTTTATTTCTCTTAAGCAGGATTATAGAGTTATGGCAAAACATTCTTCTTTTACAGTATTTAGAGTATTTATAATAGGTGACAGTTTTAATAAGTGCTAAATAATATTTAGCAGATAGAAACAAGATGGTTATTCGAGTTGAATTTCCAAAAAGATTAATTCTTTTTTTTTACTTAGTTTAATAATAATAATATATTTATATACGGAATTCAATTTGACGTGAAACAATAATATTTAATAAATTTTTACCAATTTCCATGCTGTGTATTTTTGCATATTATTTTGGTAACATCAGTAGTTACACACTGAATCATATATTAATATAAATAATATAAATATAATATGATTGTAAAACGATTCTTTTTATTTTTTTTTTCACAAAAAAATGGCAAATAAAATTTCCACGGAATTATTAATTATGATGTTCAATCTTCTCAAGATTTATATTCATCATTATTAGTTAATCGAATCTGGTGTAAAGTTACTATACCTATACTTTGAGAATTACCTTTCGGTCATGAATATAATTCAACGGATTATAGGAAGTTGAAGAAGAATGCATTATGTATTCGAACTTATGTATCATGTCTGGATACTCAAGTTAGAAACATACTTACTCAAAATGGATTTAATTTATCATTATCACCGCCTCAAGCAATTTTTGATTATCCATCATTCACTCATAAATTTATAATCAACAATTTAGTTTATTATATTTCCATATGTTCACGACATTTTATTGATAGGAGAATATTATTTCGTGAGATATGTAAATTAATATTAAATCGTTCATTTCTGAATCATTTTGAATTGGAGAGAATTTCCGAATTTTTTGTTGATGATTTTCGAGATTATAGTGATTTATTTGGTCCCCTTCTCAAGCTACCTGATGCCACTAAATTATTTAAGAAATTTGAAAGTTTTACTTCGGATGTAAGAGACGTTGATAATCAGACTGACTCATTATATGAATCATTAACATTAAATTGTGATAATGTTTTAAATAAGGATTTGTTCTTGATCTGTCATTCTCAAGTGCAATTATTAGCAAAACTTATAAGCTTCCAAAAACGGTTAGAAAATCTGTCAATTAATGAGAATATTCAAGGTTTTCATTCGTTATTATGGGCTGTCTTTAGTCAAAAAGATACATTAAAGAGCCTTCGTTTATATTTAGTAAGTTTTTATAGATTTGAGTGTAAATAATCACCAATTGGTCAATTTATTTCACTTCAAGAGCTTTATATTAAAAATTGTACTGGATTGCATGAATCGGGTATTTTACTCTTTGCTTCATCATTTACTCAATTAAGTAGTTTTCATTGTCATTCGATTTACGCAGATAGATGGTATCCTCAAAAATTTATTACAAAAATTCTCGAAATAGCTAATACAAATTTAAAAGATATTGATATTTTGCATTTGATACCTTATCAGCAATTTTAAATTATCATACAAAAGTTACCGAATTAACTTTACATAATTTGATTCCTGAACAAGCAATAGCGATATTTAATAATAATTTTAATGAATTAAGAAATTTTTCATTTAATTATGGAAGAGAAAGATTTAGTGCAAATGAATTGTTGTGTCAAATGGCCGAAAATGTACCCGAATCACTTGAAACTATTGAAATAAGAATGGGGAGATTTACTGCTGATAGTTTAAGAAAGTATGCTGAAGGGTGGTATTGTAAAGGAAGAGGATAAAATAAGAAAATAAAAAGATTATTGTAAAACTTAAAGAACAAGCGCGACCGTTTAAATTAAGTGATGAACATTTTAGAGTTAATGAAAAATATGGAGTTCATATTGATATAAAAGGATAATATTACAAACATACTTCAAATAATATTTTAAATATAATACAATATAATACGAATCATGAATTATATTTAGTATAGTATTTGTATGTTGAGTCTTGTTTCATTGTAAAATTGTTAAGTTGAATGTGAGAATACTATGTACTAAAAATCAACGGTATAAATATATAATTTTATTGCATTTTTTCGATAATTTATATTAATTAAAAATTTTTTTATTAACAGTTAATTAGTAAGCTTTATATGGATTTATTACTTTATAACTTAAATCACTAAATTATTAAAATATCATTTAAATTAATTTAATTTTACGTAAAATAAGTAATTAAAAAATAATATTTTAGTCGATTACTTTAAAATAATGGAGGTTACGTAATATTTATATTTATTTAGAACGTCAACAGAAACCACCACCATAACACACATTTCAATTCATAGTCCCCCATGGAACAGCAATTTCAATTGACAATAAGTTTGACTTGTTAGACGATGTGTATTTTTCTTGTTTTTAATAAATTGTTTCTCAACATCCCAAATCTGCAGTTATATTGGTTACAATACCATTTCAAAGGGGACCTTTGTTAGTCTATAAAAAAAGAACAAAATCAAATTAACGTCCAAAAACCATTGTAGAAAGTTCAATGCTATTTTCCTTAATCACGTGCAAAATAGATGGCAAAAAAAAAGATTATCTTCTGAACCAGCATTACCATTATCAATTTTCATTGGTATAGAAGAGAAAATCGGTATAATCCAAGAAAATCTATCTGACGAATTACTGATGCAATATCTAAAATTGAAAAGGAAAGCATTGACAATAATCTTAATTTGATTCAAGAAGAATAACTATTGAATCCCCTGGTCAGAAGTGAAAAAATTTCGACAGTGATATTAATTTGCTGTAAGTATATTGATTAATAATCAACGGTTAATTATTAATGATTATAACTATAATAACAAATAAGAGTAAAAATAGTCATTTCATTCCTCTTTTCTTATAAAAAAAATAGAATTTATTTGAGAAAATTCAAAATTGTACTGAAACACTTAAGAAAAGCCATAAACAAACAAAGTATCAACAATCGTAAAATTAATATCAATAACAATCAATAATTACAAAAGTCATATTTATAAAATATTATGATATACTCAATGACTCAATGATAGAATGTTCTTAGTCAACTCTAAAAATATACTTTTCGTATTTATTTGCATAGATAAAATAAAAATTCGGTACATTTCTTTAATAAATATATATCTCTATCACTTTGATTCTAATCATATTACTCAGGTTATCCAGTCTAATCCCTTAATTCCGAATTCTCATTTTATTTCATTTTTCATTTTTAATTTTCATTTGATTTTTGCTTTCTACCTTTTTTTGTTAATCAATTCCCTCCTCCCCACGATTTTCGTTGATGGAAAAAATTTTTAATAATGAAATGTAACTTTAAAATTTATCAAAGTGCTTTGGGGTCAAATAATGTACTGATTCATCTCTTTGGAGCGTAAAGCATTAAAAAATGAGAAATTGAAAATGATGTTGTCAAAAAATAAAAAATCCGCAATTAATATTTCTCAAAATTTTTGTCAAACAGTTAATTAAAATAATATATAATTAGTCATTTTGAGCGCTTTTCATATTTACAATAATAAAATTTATATTTTTTTCAAATTTATAATTCGAACTCTTGTATCATCTCTACTATAGTAAATCACCTTTAAAAGACTTTTGATTGGTGGGTTTCAGATTCCGTGATTGCCATTTTTATTGAATTTTGTAACGTGATTTTTGTAACAATTACGTTCTTTGAGATAATAATTTTGTTTAACCTCTTTTCAAGTAGTAAAAGGTAACAGGTGATCTCTTAACAAAAAAAGCCAGATCAAAGGATTTATGAAGGATAGAAATTGATATAACGTTGTATTACTTGGAAAAGATAACAGGTGATCTCCTGTGACTGAGTAGAGAAGCTTTTGCAATCCTTGACATAGTAACATTGCGAAAATTGGAAAATCACTCAGCTTAGTGAAAGGATAAAGAGTTCACATGCTTACTCGAAAAGTGCTAACTATTGTTGAAATTTTTTCCACGGTTGCATTTTCACTTTACTCCTTATTCACATTCTTTCAAAAATGTTTATAGTCTTGATTTTTTGTATTTATTTTTATTTATTTCTATTTATTTCTATTTTTTTGTATCTATTTTCACCTCAATTTTTTCTTTTTTTCTACTTTATTAATTTTACATTATATTCATAATTATTTGTAAAGAATGAGTCAAAAATATACGAAAATAACTCCAACTAGAACTTTAGCTAAAACTTCAATTAAAACTTCATCTAGAACAGCTCCTGTGCAAAAGGAGCAAAACATTAATTTTTACAAGTATTAAATATAAATATTAAATTAAAAAGATATTATTTATTTCGAAGTATAACATTATTATTATTTTTTTTTTATTTATATTTTTAGCAATTATCCAAAAAATTTATTCGAAAATATTGGAACTTCAAAAGTCAATTGAAGAAATAAAAACTGATAAAAGTTAACAACAGTATATTTAACAATAATTAAAGATGAAATATTATTAAAAAAATGACAAAGAATTTTGTGAAGTAGATAATTTTTATTATTATTTAAAAATTTTACAATATTTCAAATATTTATAAACTTCAATCAGAACTTTGAGATGTGATTTCAAAGCAAACCACCTTTGAGCGACTAATTAAAACTGTTTAGAAGGTATAAAAGTAATAGAATATTTGTTTTTGCTAAGCTGGCTTACAAACAGATTGAAAGATGAATTTTTCTTTAATTACAAATACTCATGAATTTTTTTCACTTCCAGAACTTTGTGATATAATTTCAACACAGTGGTCAAAGTAAACTGCCTTTGAGCGACTAATTAAAACTGTTCAGAGCTGGCATACAGCCGGATTGAAAGGTGAATTTTTCTTTAATTACAAATACTCACAAATTCTTGTACAGTTCCATTTTACATCCAGAACTTTGAGACATAATTTCAATGTATAGGTCAAAGAAAACTGTCTTTGAGAAACTAATTAAAACTGTTCAGAAGGTATGAAAGTACTTGAATATTTGTTTTCATGAAGCTGGCTTACAAATGGATTGAGATTTCAAGTTTTATTTAATTACAAATGCTCACTAATTTTTTACATATCCATTTATCTTCACTCCATTATGGAGTAGGTTATAACCTGAAGTTACTCTGGAATATAACACTCCATTAAGAACTCTAATTGTACGCAATGCAAATCTTAAATAAGATGGTGGCACGTAGTGTCACCCTCGCACTAGTAACAATATATGATTTCATGGTAAATTAATTTAAGAAAGGAAGATATAAATTCTATTTGAAAAACATAGTAAATATTTACATATTTCTGTTATAATATTTTGTGTATTTTTGATTATTATTTTGGTAATTAGTACATCAGAGTAGTTACACTACATACTGATTCATATAAATGTGATACAATTATTTTTTTTCTTAAACTTCTGTTTCTTCGATATCAAGAAAAATGGCAAATAAAATTTCCACAGAAATATTGATTATGATTTTAAACAATGTTTAATCATCTCAAGATTTATATTCATCATTATTAGTTAATTGAATCTGGTGTAGAGCTGCTATACCTTTGCTTTGGATACTACCTTTGGGTCGAGAATGTTGTTTTTGGGATGATGAGAAGTTGAAAAAGAAAGCATTATGTATTCGAACTTATATATTGTGTATGGATGTTCAAGCTAGAATGTTACTTGCTCAAAATGGATTTGACTTATCGTCGTCACCATCTCAGGCTACTTTTGGTTATCCATCATTCACTCATAAATTTATAATTATTAATTTAGTTTATTATATTTCCACATATTCATCACAAATTATTCCACATTCAAATTAGTCCACACAAATCATTGGTCCTGATCAAGATGCTGACAATAGTGATGATGAGGAAATCATCACCGCCGATTCGAGAATAATATTTCATGAGATGTGCAAGTTAATAATAAATCGTAGCACATTTCTGGATTCTTTTAAAATAACATGCGATCCCATAGAAAAATATCGACTCGACATCATAGTGATTCAATTTGCTCAATTTCCAAGCTACCTGGTGCCACGAAAATATTTAAGAAATTAGAAAGTTTTACTTCGACAATAAGCCTGGATGCTAATCTAATTGGATCGTTATATGAATCGTTAACATTGGTTTGTGATAACATTTTAAATATGGATTTATCGTTTGATTTAGATTCTCAAGAGCAATTATTAACAAAACTCATTAGTGTTCAAAACGGTTAGAAAATTTATCAATTGTTGGTTTTTATTATCAACATCCTAATTCATTATTTTTTAAGGCTATCATCAGTCAAAAAGAAACATTAAAGAGTCTTCGTTTATCTTTCATAAATTTTTTAAATATTTCTTATTTCGAAGGAAAATCGGCATCAACTGGACAATTTATTTCACTTCAAGAACTTTATATTAAGGATTGTCACGAATTGCAAGAATCCGATTGTTTACCCTTGGCTTCATCATTTCTCAATTAAGTAATTTTCATTATTTTCATTCGGTATATGCATTTAATAGATGTGGTTTGTATTCAAAAGAATTTATTATGAAAATTCTCGAAACAGCCAATGCAAATTTAAGAAATATTTGTCTAGATTTATATCCCCTAGTTTCATTTGATATAATTTCAGCAATTTTAAATTAAAGTACAAAGATTAAGAATTAACTCAACATAATCTGCGTCCTGATCAAGTAATAGAAATATTTAATAATAATTTTAATGAATTAAGAAGATTTTCATTTGATTGCGGAAAGTCATTGGATGCTGATGAATTATTACGTCAAATAGCCGAGAATGTACCAGAATCACTTGAAACTATTATGATTAAAATGTATTATTATAATCCATGGATATTTAGTGCTACAGTTTAAGAAAATTTTTCGAAGGGTGATGTTGCAAAGAAGGAGGAAGAAATAGAAAATTAAGGGGATTACGTATCAAACCTATAAGACAAGAGGGACAAACACTATTCTCACCAGTTACATTGAAACCAATAGGTGAACTCTTTAAAGTTGTTGAATGGAATTAAATTTGATGTAGAAGAATAATTTGAATATTCCAAATAATTTTTCGAATAATTTTTCCTTTATTTTTTTCTATCTTTGTTATTATTTACAAATAATAAATATATTTTTTTAATATTATTTTGGTAACTAATACGTCAGAGTAGTTACACGACTCACGGAATCTAATTTCTATTAAAATTAGTGAATAATAGTATATGATTCCGTGATAAAGTAAATATCCAAAAAAAAAAGGATGTCAAGTTTATTTGAAGAAACATACAAATGGGCTCTGAACAAGATTAGTGATACTTCAAATTTATTTAATTATATTAATTATATGACAAATATAAAAAAAATATAAATATAAAAAAAAATAAACGTATATAATTCATTAATTATATTATCTGAGAATCGAAATTTCTAACTATTTTTCTTAATAACCTTAAATACTTCATAATCAACAAAATTGAGAAATTATCTGTTGTGGTTCTTATAGGTTTTTCATAATGATCGTTATAATTATCATACTCAGAACTATCGAATACAAATCTAGAACTAGGATTATACATATAAAAATCATACCCAAAGCGTGCCTTTTGATAGCATTACCAATTGCAAAATCACGAATTTTTACTCTGCTAAGAATTGAATTTTGCATATCGCCATTTTTCAATGAGAAAATAAAGCCATCATTAATTTTTTCCCGACTATCGCCATTAGCATCCCAAATTAAAATATTATAACCTCCAAGAATTTCTTTTGCTCATTTAACTTTCATGATCATTACAGTACTATCATGACCATGGCAGGTATCCAAAACGTTAGAGGTGCAAATCCGTTTATACTTCCTCTTAAAATTAATTGAAATTCATATGGAGTGTTAGTTAAAGAATAAGTCATCAGTAAATTTTTTAGACGTAATATTACACAATTTACAAAAAAAAATCCGTTTTGACTTCGCACGCGATTTACGTAACAGGGAACGATTTTCTACCAAGGTATTTCTAAGATGGATCGTGCCTGGCTACATATGGTTCATTCCTGTAGCTTCGATATTCACGTTTAAATTCGGACGTCTGTGAAAAATTTTGCAAATAATTTAAACGTAATATTTTAATATTATATAATCGTAATTTCACGACACTCACGGAAAATTTTTCGTAAAATTTTTGTTGAAAATTTTCACGAACGACCGAATTTAAACGTGAATATTTCGATAAATGTCGATGCTATGAAAATTAAAAACATATCAACATGTAGGCAGGAACCAGGACTTTCGATCCATCTTAGAAATACCTTAGTAAAAATTTTTCCCTGTCACTTAAATCGCGAGTGAATTCAAAAAAAAAAAAACGGATTTTTTTAGGCGTGAATTTCTATAAAATTTTGCAAATTTACGCCTAAAAAAATTTAAAGATACCGTTTTTGATTTACGATCAATCCAAGAGGAAATTTCGGCTACATGTTCATAAGTGATAATGGTCGAAAGTGGTTTTACTTGTTCTGTTGTACGGGTAGGCAATTCTTAAATTAAAACTGATCTTGGTGGTAAAATAATTGATTTTACAGGTTGTTCTGGATCTATGAAACACTGAGTCAAATCTTCCCAAAGTTGTTTATCAAGAATTTTCTTGTAAGGTTTTACTTTATTCCAAACATCAGTACTAGAAATATGGAAATATCGAACAAGTGGTAAACGTTGCCGTAAAGTAGTTTTTAAAGTTGTAAAGTTTTCATTGATCCATTCTTTAAGGTCTACAGGTAAAGTGGAATTCAGAGCAATTCCCCTTAATTAAATATTCCAAATTATCATCTCTTCTAATTGTAAATCGTCTCTTTTGAGGAGAGAAATCAATGCAGATTCTTGAAAGAAGAAAATCTTCGGCATCGAAAATGAGATTTGAATACTTTGCAACAAAACAATGAAGTTATTTTCATTAAAAATTGAACGATAAACCAAGAACTTTTAGTTTGAATAATATTTTTTTTAGTTGATTTTTCAATTTAAATTCACTAGCTTCACCATTAAATCAAAAATACACTAAGTTTCCAAATTTTCTATATCAACAATTTCACCATAAATGTCTTATGAAATAAAATAAAAATTATTATTTATCAATAATATTATTTTTATTAAAGCATAGTAATAACTTGAGAATACTATTTGGCTTAGTAATTGTCTTGATATTGTCTTCATTTGGGATAATAATTTTCAATTCTTTACGAAAGTAAGGTGAGCGACACTTTAGTGTGCCGTAAAGGATTTCTCATTTTTAACTATGATAATTACATTATAATCACCTTTATAATTAAGGAGTTCAATAAAATATCGGATAATTTATCATAAACTTTTTGGCATTTTATTTTATTTATAAAATGTGAGAAAAGTTCAAGAGTATTAAATAGAATTTTGTATGAATGAGCAAATGAATATATTTTAGGCTAAGGAATGGATATTTGTTTTTAAATTATTGACTTTCAAGAATTTGATACAGATATATAAAAGAATGTATATTAAATATTAATCAATTTATTTAATAGATATAAAAAAAATCTTGTTAAAATTACAAATATAAAAATTGAATTACATCTATCTAGTTTTCTTAATAACCTTAAATACTTCATAATCAACAATTGAGAAACTATCTGACGCAGTTCTTATAGGATTTTCATAATCACCATAACCATTATTACCAATACAGTAATTACTAGAAATACCAAATCCATTTCCAAACCATGGACCATAAAATCCTTGAGAAGATTTGTTTGCATTCCAAATTGCACTATCACGATTTTTTACTTTGCTGAGAATTGAATTTTGTATATTGCCATTTTTCAATGAAAAAATAAAGCTATCATCAGTTTTTTCCCAACTACCACCATCACCAGTATCGGCAACATTAGAATCCCAAGCTAAAGGATTATAACCTCCAAGGATTTCTTCAGTTTCTTTAACTTTCATGATCACTACAGTACTAGAATGACCGTGGCAAGTATCCCAAAATGTTTGAGGATTAAATCCATTTACACTTCCTCTTAAAATTAATTGAAACTCATATGGAGTGTTTGTTAAAGAATAAATACTTGATTTACGATCAATCCAAGAGGAAATTTCGGCTACGTGCTCATAAGTAATAATGGTGGAAATAGTTAATTCTGGAACTAAAATTATTCTTGGTGGTAAAATTATTGATTTCACTGGTTTTTCGGGAGCCATAAAATGCTGTTTCAAATCATCCCAAAGTTGTTTATCAAGAATTTTCTTGTAAGGTTTTAATTTGCTCAAAACATCGATACCAGGAATGTGAAAATATCGTACTAGAGGTAGGCATTGTTGAAGAGTAGTCTTTAAAGTTTTAAAATTTTCATTGGTCCATTCTTCAAGATCTACAGGTAAAGTAGAATTCTGAGCAATTCCCCATTTAATTACATATTCCCAAATTATCACCTCTTCTAATTGTAAATCGTCTCGTTTGAGGAGAGACACCAATGCAGATTCTTGAAGAGAAGAGAAATCTTCGGCATCGAAAATGAGATTTGGATACTTTGCAACAAAACCATTGAAGTTATTTTCACTAAAAATTGAACGATAAACAAGAGAAAAATGAGATTTTAACCAAGAGTTTTTAGTCTCGATAAGATGATTTTCTAGTTCTTTGGCTAATTCCTCGATTTCAAATTCATTAGCTGTCAGCATTAAATCAAAAATAAACTGTGTTTCTGCATTCTCTAAATCAACGATTCCACCATAAATATATCTTATGAAATAAAATAAAAATAATTAATTTATGTACCTTATTATCGTTTATCGTTATCAATAATATTATTTTATTAAAGAATAGTAACAACTTACTTGAGAATAGCATCAAAAATTTCATCAGAAATATTTGGCTTAGTAATCGTCTTAATATTGTTTTCATTTGGAATAATATTTTTCAATTCTTTACAAAAGTAAGGTGAACGACACTTTAACACATTAGAGTGCGCCGTAAAGGATTTATCATTTTTAACTATGATGATTACATTATAATCATCTCTGTCATCAAGAAGTTCAATAAAATTTCGGGATAATTTATCAAAAAATTTGAAAGTCATTTTTTTAAAAAAAAAATTATAGATAAAATCAACGAAAAATTATAAAGTTATTATGCTGTGATGGTCACACAATGAATATAAATGAATTTATTATCCAACACTATAAATATACTTTTAAGGTTAGTCATAAGATCATCGGTGGTACTGGGCAAAATTAAATTTAAGTTAGAGAATTATGTATTTTGCCCAGCTCACTCACTGGTGAGCGAACCAAATTCTTTAGAAATAAATAATCTTGTGTTTTTATTAGTATGAAGAAACGTGATATTCACGTTTGCGTTGATACTTGATTTACTACTTGATTTTTTACTTGTATTTTGAACTCATTGGTTACCCCTGAAATTTTAGTGTTCATTCTTTTTTTGTCTAAACCAGTTAATACCTGTCCAGTCCATTCTTTCATTAATTTCACAATATTATGAAAAAGGTTATTGACCAATAAAAAATAAAATGATAATAAATGAATATTTGTAGGAAATATAATTTAAATAAAAATGTCATTCTAAATTCAAATTTTTTTATCATATTGTCACAAATGTGCAGAGTATTTTGTTCACTTTCACCTATCAGTCTCAGAGTTTGTCTCACACAAACTAATTTTTTAATATGCTCTATCTGCCAGTAGGTCAAGCAATCCATTGATCTAAACTTGCCTATCTCGAAACAGATAATAAATATAATATAATTCTTTTTAATTCTCTTTAATTCTTTATTTTTAATCTGAAGGCTCAGTGAGTGAGGTGGAGTAAAAGCATTAACACAGTATCAAATAATATTTAACAAGACTTTGCAATATTGCAACACAAAAGATATGTTTATTAAAATATAAAGGTACAAATTTAAAAGTAAAGTATCATTTAATGAAAGAAATATTATGGGTTACGTGTCTATTTTACTGTCCCTAAAGGAAGTTTACTTTTCTATATAGTAATATTAATGTTTGGAATGGAACTATCTGTAATTATAAATTAACTGAAGTCTAAGAAACTACTAATACTACTGTTTTATGTCTCCAATGACCACTTTTTTATACTTTTTCACCTTCATTCAAATTTTACCTGTCATCTTTGTACTTCATCCTTCATCTTTTACATTATCTTTGGAATGACAGCACAAGTTACTATCCTCGTACAATCATCTTAGTGTCACCATTTATCATCTCCGTGATAATCCACATGCTTACAAAATTATTTCACCACAATATAAAAAAATATAAAAAATTCAATAATTTTTATTTATTTGAAAATTTAATTTATATTTTCTATTTTGCTATATTTATATGAGTCTAGTAATAAAAATATTAATATATAAATAATAATAATAAAAAATTGCATAATAATAAAATTAAATTATATAACAATAAAAAACAATAAAAAATTAAATTATATAAAAAATTAAATAAAAAATAAAAAAATAGATAATAAAATGCTGAGATAGCAGTAAGTACAGTAAGAGGTATTAAGCAATGTTCTTTATATATTTAGTACATTTGAGGTTTCATTTGTTTATTTATCAATTCTATTTTATTTAGGATCTCTATTCCCCCCCGCTTCTCTATTCTGTTAATTCTCAATTGGAAATCTCCTGGTGTGACTGTAAATGTTTATTGAATGAGTTTAGATGGGATATTTTGAATGAAGTGTGAACAGTAAATGTGTAAACGAATGTGGATTAATATGTAAGTAAAGTGAGAGTAATTAAGTGAATGATTGTTTTTTTTTAATAAATAATAAATGTAAAAAACACCACTGCCATATTGTAGTCATAAAATTTAATATCATTTTTTGAGAGTCTGTGCTAGTAATTTCTAGTTTATGATTTATAATTTAATAAAAAATTTAGTGCATGATTATATCTTATATTATCAAATATTATTAAATCTTTTTGTGTATCAGTTGTATAACCAAAATGAATAATTTAAATATTATGTAAGTTATATAATACTAATAGTTTGTTGACACCATGATTAAGATTTGATCTTATTGGAAAGTTATTGACTCAAGTTTCATGTGGAAGTGGAGATATAAAGAGTTCAACACTTTAAACTTAAGAGAATGAAAGATAATATTCTTTACATTATTTCTTGATGTATTATCATAATATATAACATATTGTTTGTATCTTTTATACTAAATATAAAAAAATATATTTTAAATTTTCAATGCTTTTGTCATGCCATGTTTATTTATTTAAAGTGAATTCCTCTCTTGAGTAGTCATTTATACTAACTATGTTTATTAGATCTTTTAGTATTTCATATAATTTAAATAAATCTGTTTATAAATTTAGATATGACTTTAATGATTAAATTAACATTAAATATTTAATTTTCGATGTTGATACCACAAACATGTAGCCAAAGAAATAGCCATACTGTTTTATAATCAATAATCCAAGAGAAAAATGATTATATAGCAAATTTTAATATTAGTTATAAAGATTATTTTAATCCTTATGGGAAAAATATTATTCTTCTACTAAGTATTTGCAGAATTTTTTATTTTATTTATTATTTTATTTATTTTTATTATTATTTTTATTAGTTACTTTATTAATCTTTCAGTAAATTTTAAAAGAAAGGCAACCAAGTGTCAGTCATGTGTTAGAATAGTTTTTATTTTTCTCTAGACAGATTTGAGGTCATTCTTTTGTCATTTCAACTACTGTCAATATTGTCTGCATTCTTATTTTACTATAGGAAGATTGCAGGTTACAGAGCACACTGATCTGAATTAAACATTTTATATGATTATATATGTTACTAATGATTCCATTATGATGATTTAATTTCAAATAACTTTTTTGACATGTTAATCTAATAATATTTGAAGATAGAAGTAATCTTTGTAATGTGGTTATTTATTTTTATCTAAGATTTTGTAATTTATCTATGGTCATATTAAAATAAAGTTTCAATAAGAATAATGAACATATTTAATTATAAATACAGAAATAAACATATAAATATAGTACATTAAAATTTACAAAATATAAAATTAAAAAAAAAAAAAAAAGTGTATTAATTCTATCTTATTTTTTGCAATCTCATTTTGGAACAAGAATAGCATAAAAACCTTTTTATATGAGCCAATTAATTCATTTGTTTTATCAACTAATTTCTATTCTTCGAATAATGAAAATTTTTTCCTTAACACTGTGGTGGTCTGCCCAGAACAAAGAGTAAAGTTACGTCAATCAGTCCCACTAAAATCGAACTCTTGTCAAACCCCTTTTTGTACTAACTCAATGTACTCTTGTATGCAATATTTCGTAATGCCCACTATCTGCCAGTAGGATCAAGAAGTCACTTGCCTACACACAATGGACAGATATATAAAATAAACTCTAACACAGTACACACAGGTGTGATCTGAAGGTACGTGAGTAAGTGGAGTAAAAGTATCTTTTACAGCTCACTAAGCAAACTTTTGAATCTTAGCTTCAGACTTTATTCAGTAATTTTATTCAAGAAATTATAAAATTAGTAATAGAGGTATTATGGGCTGTTAACCGTTTCTTACCAATATTACCATTATCATGAAATAAAATGTTTAAAATGTATCAAATTATTATGGAGTATGTTAAAACTATTAAACTTATTGCAAAGATATAACAACAAAAATATATCACTGTTTTGATGTATCTTATCTCTGCTGCTAAATCAAAACAGTATGTTTCTATCTTTATTATTTAATTTTTATAACAAAATGCATATCAAAAGATTATTTATTATTTTATTACAAATTAGGTGAAAGATTTTTGTATTTATTCAAAATGTACCAAATGAAAATTATAAGAATTGCATAAAAAATGAGCCGATCCCTTTCACATCCTAAATTACCAGTTTATTTTATACACTTTTGAACTTGTTTTCCTTCATCCTTTGTTGTCACGTCTAAACACGTCCTTTTCTATTTTTAAAGATGACACACAAGGATGAAGGACAATGTACAAGGATGAGGAATCATCCTGGTTACACTTTCATCTTACTGTCATCTCCTGTGACACTCGCAACATTTCGAAATCCTGAGCACATCCCATGTGGGATTCGTGCACCCTCAACACCACTACACCACTATTTGGAATTATTCGGGTTATTTAAAGTTTTCAATTGTTCTTTTAAATTTTGGTCCAACTCTTCAAATTTCGTTTTAAATTCCTTAAATTCATTTTCCATTATATTAAATCTTTCTTGCAGTGTTGATTGATATCAATATTTGTAGTAGGACTTGGTTCATTATATAAAGACTTATTCTTGTTTGACCTCCAATTTCTTTGTTATTTCTTGTTCAATTATCAGCAAGAAAAGGGATGATTCGCTTTACTGTATTGATTGTAATATGAATCAAATCTTCTACACTATCGATGCTAACAAACATTGATTTCATGATCTGATTTTCATTTGTCCCAATCATCGATATCTGAATAAAATAAAAACAGTAATACGAGGCATGCAGTGTCAGAAATAAATTAGCAACATTGACTTATTAAAAACTATTGAAAATTTATGTTCATTAGCTTGCAAGTTAAGAAATCGATTCATCGCAAATGCAGCCAAATAGCTTACCTTAATTACATAGTTCTTGTCCGAGCTTTTCGTCTCTAATATTTGGCACTACAGTAAATAAAAAATTGAAAGAATAAAAAAGAAATTTCGGCAAAAATTTTTCCAGATTTATTGCGCATTGAAAAACGTACAATAAATAATGACTTTATTATGTACAGTACCTCCTGATTTTTATTTATACTCACATTTGATGAAACCAGTTTTCGCAATGTTGAGACCAAATATTCAATTTCCACGCCTAACCATGAATGTTCGTAGAAACTCAACTCATATTTCGTTTCCTTATACTCGTTTAATTTCTTCTCATATCAGACAAAATGAATCATTAAATAAATTTGAAAAATGACAAAAAGATTTGTTTGATGAATAAGAAAGACGACAAAATAAAAATTTAAAGAATCTTGAAATTGGATTAACGTGTAAGTATTTCCTTTGTAAACCGGAACAAATTTTATAAAATAAAACTAACAAGATTTTTGTAAATTATGAAGAGCGTTGTAAATAAAAAATTTAAAGTTCTTTGGATTTTTCTTGGAGTTATGTTTGTTTTTAAATAAATTTAAGTAATGAAAGAAGAAGAATGTTATTACTTCTGAACAAAGCATCAGTTTTACAAATTTGTAAAATTCTTATGGAAGAAAAAAGATTTTATTGGCTTCTAGTTTCTTTGCTTTTCTATTTAAATGATAGTGCAGGGCAGTTCAAGGAAAACTTTATAAAGCTACATATATATTGTTCCAATTTAAATATCAGAATGTGCTTAATATAAATTTTAATTATTTTTTCTTAATTGTGAAAACATCTAAAATAAAGGTTTCGCTCATATCATTTGATTTTTAACGTATGTGTGTGTATTCAGGAAAACAAGGGTAGAGATCCATTCTATTAGAAATCGGATTTATAAAAATGTAAATATGTAGTGTATTAAGGATGATATTGGCATGATAAAAGAATCTTCCTTTAAGACAAATATATATATATATCTATGTTGTAAGTTATATATAATGTTGAGATCACTGGTTTATGCTGTTGCTTCTTATATAATATAGGTTTTATTTAATACATAAAATACTCTTACTCAAAAGATACTATATATATAATAAAGTCTTGTAAAAAATATGTACTCTCACATACATGTTCTAGAAAAGGCTGACTTCACAAATCGTATTTTTACTACTAAAAATTATATCTTTTTCATATTTTTTCTTTCGTTAATCACAAATTTTTGGATATCTGATCTATTATTTCATCTTTTATTTTTTTTTATTTTTTTTAACTTTCATGATTGCACATTTTTGAGGTATACTTAAGATTGTTTTTGGTGCTAATCGATGCTTTAGATTCTTACATATATCGACTTTATTAACGAATATCATTAAATAAACTCCATTCCTCAAAAATTAAAATGTGTTGACACGTATCCACAATATCTCTAATTGATATTCTTGTAATTTCTTATTCCATTGAATTCTAATTGTCCAACATATTTGCATTCTCTTGGCGACGAATTTTTTTTACTATTTTTTAATATTATATCCTTATAATGTTACTTTTCTCTATTGTTTATTAACATATAAAATAGTAAATAATAGTTCTCGATTTTTTTATTAACACTTCAAACATAAGTTATCACCTAATATTTTGTAATAGTCATACTTTTATTAAAATAAAAAATATTTTAGAAATCGTTTCTTATAAATTTACTAATTCTCAATCTTGAACCAGATTTTTCTAATTAAAAGTAAAGAAATAAAAAGTTATTTAAATAATATATTATAATTAAAATAATTTCATTATAAATTTTGACAAAAAAATAATAAAAATATAAATTTCATTAATTATTATCTGAGAATCGACTAGTTTTTTTTAATAACCTTAAATACTTCATAGTCTACAATTGAGAAATTAAATGTTGTAGTTCTTATAGTCTTTTCGTAATAAATATTATCATAATTACACACACTGCAATTATCTAAAGTAAAATTAAAACTAGGACCGTGCATATAAAAGAATCCACAAAATATGGACCATACGTCTTTTGATAAGTTTTGACAACATTCAAAATTGCATGCTCACGAATTTTTACTCTTCTAAGAATTGAATCTCGTATATTACCATTTTTCAATGGAAAATAAAGCTATCATTAGTTTCTCCCCAACTATCAGTGACATTAGCATCCCAAATTAAACCATATGGGCTGATTTGTCTCTACTCAATTTTTAAATATCACATAATGTCACATATGTGATTTCTGGATGTCACGTTATAAATTTAATTGATCCTTAAACATTTACAACATAAACATGCGCGAAAATATTGAAGAAACTCACAAATGCTTCCTTTGCCAACAAAATTTTCCTTCTAGAAATAAACTTATAATACATGAAAGAAATAATCATCGCAATAACAAAATTGTACCTCATGGAGTTTCACTTTCTTTACCTTCCTTTGAGCTTGTTTATCAATATCAAGATGCATTTATAATTCTTATTAAAAAGAAACTTGGGTTTAATAGACACTCCATTGGTTCTAAAAATTTACAATCAGTGCATTTCCTGAAAATGTTTTTGTAAATTTATTTGAAAATGAATCTAGCTTTCATTATAGCCCAACACAACAAAAATATTATTGTCACTTTCAAGGAAAGGCAGGTGAAGAAAGACTTAAGCAAATACTCAAATATGAAAATTGGAGCTCTAAGCAAAATCCTGAAGCAAAAACTACTTTTTACGTTTTATTTGCTAATAATGAGGAAATATATCAAATGGACTTTAGTTGGTAAGTATTTTCACATTAAATAATATAATTATAAAAAATAAGTAGCTGTAAATTTCTTTTCAATAGGTTGTTGTTGAAATTAAATGAAAATAACTGATCTTTTCAATGTCGTACTGCAACATGTACATTCTTAACTGATTCTGGGGAATTTATTAGTATAAATTGTTTAATATAATTAATTAAAATAATTTGTAATTATTATTTTATTGAATTTATATTATTTATTTAGAAATAAACCAAATAAACCTCCAGAATTAACTATCACAAATTATAAATTTATATTACCTTGTACACCACTTCAACAAATTTATATAAACTATACATCAAATGTTATAGAATAACTATATATTTTCTTTATTCACATTTAAAATTTCGAGTTATTATTTTTTTAGAAGTATTATTAAGTAAATAATACAATTGGCGATTCTCAAATGACATCATATTATAGACAACAGACTTTCCATCGGTTCCCCTACCACCAAAAAATAGATGAGCCTGTAATAAAAAAAAAATTAATCAATAAAATATATAATAAAATATATAATAAATTATAAATTAAATATAATATTTATACCTGTTTATGATTCTTTTTTTCAATACTGGATATAGAAAAGTATTGTAATGAAAGATTTTTTTTTTAATTCACGTAAAAATTGAGGTACATGTTTAGCAAAAACATACATATAAGGAGTTACACCCTCCTTTCTATATAAACCATGAATTTGATCAGTGCTATTCATATAACCTTGAGTAGGATGGCAGTATAGATGGACCCAATTTTGTGCATCAATTTCAAATTGATTATGTTCTTGATCTGAAAGTGATTCAGAATGTAAAATTGTATATAAATGATAAAATTCATGCCATAATTTTTCTACATCTTTTCCACAATCACCAGAAATAAATTGTGTAACTGGAAAATCTTTTAACATCTTCTTTTTATTGGGACCCATTAAAGATGTCCAGTTCCATAGTTTACTATTTGACTTTGACTGGAAAAATTCAAAATGAATTTTTATATTTTTAAATGCACTTTCAATTTCTGGCTTAATTTGTTTTGCAAATTCTTTTTTTTTAAATAAATCCAAAAAAAAAACATTCCAATAAAACATCTGATATATGCAACATCAAATGTAAATCCATCTGGTATATAATTTTCTTGATTAATTGCAAGAAATAAAGGTTGTTTTTTTTTCTCCTGTAATTAATATATAAAAAATTAATATTTATTATTTAATATTAAGTTAAATATTATATTAATTTACATTTAGAATTATTTCCATTTTTCCATATTCTATCTATATCCCACTGCATTGATGATTCACAATCACAGAATAAGCAAAAATATTTAGAATTTGGAGCATTTATACCTTTAATAATATATGTAATTTTCCAATCTCCACAAAAATGAAATTCAATAGGCCAATGTATATTATTCTGATCTATAATTCCATTATCTTTCAAATCATGTAGCTTATATTGAAATATTCTACTAACTTTTGCACAATCATCATAATTTTCTCATCCAATGTAAAGACAAATACTATAATTTTAATAAAATATAAAGTTATTAAAAATAATTATTTAATAAATGAATAAATATAAACTTTATTACCAATATTGATGATCTGGTTTTAAAACCTCTTGTTTTTCATTTAATAAACAAAATGTCATCCTTACGTGATTTTGTTTGCATCCTACATTTCATCCATCGCATTCAATTTTCAAATTAATTTTTTCTCCAATATTTAAAACAGGTGGAGAAGAATTTTTCCAGATAGGAATTAATACTTTAAGCAAGTTTTTATTGATCTATATGCACCATTTCCAATTTTTATTTCACCAACTAATATTTCTTCATTATAATCTTCTAAAATATTCAAACTATCATCATTTTGCTGAATTTTGTCAAGATTAAATGTTCCTATTCTTCTTTTTTTATTAATAATATTTGTAATGTTGTTTCTGTGTTCTCTAATGTGATATTCATGAATAAGATGTGATTCAACAGCAGCTAAATGTCAATATCCATCTCTTGCTAATAAAGATTCATTGCAAACACGTTCAATAGAATCTAATTTCTCACATTCAACATTTTTTTATATGTTAAATTGATGATTTTGCCATTAAATTCCAATTCAATATTACGAACAGAAACAGCTAGTTGACCAGTCTTGCAATCATATTGTGTTTTAACATTAAGGATGTAGATTTTGTTCTGACCCTTTCCCAAAAGCAGTAAAATGTTTACTTTGTCCAGATTTAGATTGAATAAGAGAAAGAGGTCTTTTTCTAGAAGTTATAGATTTATTGGAAATTTCTAGTCGAAATTGATGTAATTTTCCAATATCTAATCCAAAAATTTGAGGACCTGAAAGTTTTGTTGCTTTTTGACCAACATTCTAATAAATATAAATATTATTAGATAATTTATTAAATTCAGAATATATATACAATATCTATACCTTTAAAAATTCAATTATTGCACCAGTAGTGATTTTTCACTATAAACAATCCACTTGGCACTATTTTCTTTCCAAAAAATAAAATATTTGACTCTTTGATTTGAAGTATACTTTATTTCACAATGAAGCTTTCTCTTTCCCATTTCAGTTTTGACAATGTAATTATTGGGTATCCAACATTGTCTTCCTTCAATTGAATTTGTTTGTGTCATAACAACCTTAGTAGAATAATGCCCCAATGATATTATATTATACCATGACACAAATGTTATACTACCTGATACATATGTAGCTACAATGCGAGATGAATTTGGATAATCTTCATTAAATGTTCTTGTTGAATAATTATCTATTATTTAAATAATTAGTTATGTTTAGTGAACAAAATAAAGCTTATATAAATATAAAATTACAATAATTAAGTTTTTCACTGGATTCATTTGGCATATTTAGTTCATAAAAGTTGCACTTTTGAAATTTCAAATGATTTCAAACGATTCCAAAAACTGATTTAGAACCGATTTAGAATATATTTTAAAGTCTTGAAAACAACAAAAAATACTAGTTCACGAACTTTTACTGTACTGCATGCCATAAATTAACCTTATTATTAGCTTTATTTTATTGTATTACAAAATCATGTTACAATTTTATTTTAAAATTCTGTATATGATGGGATGTTCTGGTTTTATGTGACAAAATCGAATGGAACAAAATCAGCCCATATGCCTCAAAATATGTTTTCTGTTCCTTGGTTTCATTTGTTCTGTTGTACGGGTAGGCAATTCTTGAACTAAAATTGTTCTTGGTGGTAAAATTGTTGATTTCACTGGTTGGTCCGGTGCCATAAATTGTTGATTCAAATCTTCCCAAAGTTGTTTATCAAGAATTTTCTTGTAAGGTTTTACTTTATTCCAAACATCAGTGCTAGAAATATGGAAATATCGAATAAGTGGTAAACATTGTTGTAAATTAGTTTTTAAAATCATAAAGTTCTCTTTAGTCCACTCTTCGAGTTCTGTAGATAAAGTGGAATTCTGAGCAATTCCCCACTCAATAATATATTCCCAAACTTTAATCTCTTCTAATTGTAAATCATCTCGTTTAAGGAGAGAAATCAATGCAGATTCTTGAAGAGAAGAGAAATCCTCGGCATCAAAAATAAGATTTTGATACTTTGCAATAATGTCATTACAAAATTTTTCTAAATCTTTGAAACTATTTCACTAAAAATTGAACGATAAACTAGAGAAAAATGAGACTTTAGCCAAGAACTTTTAGTTTCAGTAAGATGATTTTCTAGTTTTTTGGTTAATTCGTCAATTTCAAGTTCATTAGATGCCATCATTAAATCAAAAATAATCCTTGTTTCTACATTCTCTAAATCAACAATTCCACCATAAATATATCTTTATTGAAATAAATTATTATTTGCTAATCTAAGAAACAAATTATTGTTATCAATAATAGCACTTCACTTTTATTAAATAGTAATAACACTTTAAAATAATATCAAAAATTTGATCAGAAATATTTGGTCTGGTAATTTTTTTGATATTGTTTTCATTCGGGATAATATTTTCTAATTCTTTATAAAAATAAGTTGACCGACACTTCAACATATTTGAGTGCGCTGTAAAGGATTTCTCATTCTCAACTTCAACGATTACATTGTAATCATTTTTATCGTTAAGAAGTTCAATAAAATTCTGAGATAATTTTTCAAATAATTTAAAGGACATTTTTTTTGTAAAATGTGGGAAACAAGAATGTATGCCGATAAACTGTACTGTACGAACTTACCTTTTTTGATAAATTTTTATCAAGTGACAATGGTTGTTCAACTGTATACGTATCTGATACCCAAAAATGATGGTACAGATTTTTGAGTTTCGTAGTACAAAATTTAGAATATTTTCATCTACTAAACTAGATTATTATTAAATTTCTACGATATGTCATATATAATGTTGTAACTTTGACCTCAATAGACCATAATTTTAAAAACTGTTTAATAAAAAATATATGCCCAAATGTAACCTCCACTTAAAATCATAAAATTATGACTGTTCCTTTGCTATTTCACTTTGGACCAGAATTCTCATGTAAAAATTATAAATTCTTTTCCAATCAAAAAATGAATGTTACATATTATTCTTTTTATATATGCTACCTTATTCTGGACTTCCATGTAATTTGGTAAGTTGTCAATAGAAATATCATTTCAGTCACATATACCTTACTTATTAGAAAAAGGCCAAGCGATTCTTCTTCTTCACATCACTTTCAGTTTACATGTACAGTATATTATATAATATAATTTCTAATTCTAGACTATAAGGGTGCATTGTGATGTATTGTGATCCATGAATCTTGACATACATGATTTAAACCATTCAGGCATCATGAATTTTGATACTTATAGGATATAATGTGGCTGCTATCTGTAGGAAACAATTTGCTATTTTACTAATTTACTTCACTCGCGATTTGCACATCAAAATGTGATATTTAACTATTATCATTCGAAAGCCTGGGCTTTCAGAATTCACAATAATCATCTTTTAACTCAAAAATCCATTGATTTATGGCTATTTAAAGTTGAGGTAAAAAAGCAATCCATCAAATCATAATTATATAATATGGTCTAAGAAGGAAAGTTAAGGCATTATTTTTCACTTGCAATCTTTTTTTTCCTGTATATTTAGAATGTAAAGAGATTTTTTTTTCCGCTTTCCCTATAAAAACTGTTTGTCCATAAAATGGTTATAGGATATCTGAAAATGTACATAAAGGAGGTAAGGGAGAGTCATTTTTGTTCATTTGATGTACTTTTTTTTTATTTTAATTTACAATTTTACATTTTATTTTTGATCTATGTAATAATTAAATATCTGATATAATAAGTTTATTATTATTTTTATTTGTTTGCTTATATTTTTTTGTCACTTTTTAAAAATTAATATACAAAATGTGTCCATAAAATGTACATTGAATTTTTAAAAATGGACTATTTGTTTCCCTCGTTGCTCCCATTTTTAAACTTTTCTTAGTTAGCTCATTGGCAATGCAAACAGTTAACTTTTTTTATTTAAAACTAATCTATAAATAAACAAGCGAACTTAGTAAAGTATATAAAAAACTAAATATAAAAGTATATAAAAAGTTTAAAAAAATTAAATAACATAGACTATTTGTAATTTCCCTTCATTTATGCCTTATTGCCGCTAGAATATTTCATTAATTTTGTTTTAAAGAATTAGCAAAAAATGAGTTACTTAAACAGAAAAAAATAGGTCTAAAGTGGAAGAACTTCTATTGATATTTTAGGTATTTAAAAGAAAATATTTTTAATATACATATTTCCTCAGAAGTATTCCTATATCTAATCCGGTGGAAAAAAGTCAATGCACATCATTAAATTTAGAAAGAGTTTCGAAAAAAATTTATAATCTTGCGAATAATATAGAATATAAAAACATAGAAATGTAATATTAAAAACATAGCATAAATATGTACATTTAATTTAAATAATTTTAAACGACATTAATTTAAGATTAATTATGATTTATTTGCATATATATATTGTTAATTTATTTGTATTATCTTTATTACTAGCTCAATTAATTAATACTAAAAATATCCCACGAAATTGATTAGTGAAAATATCACAAATTATCATTTAGTAAACGTGACATATTAATTAATGAATATTAAACTTAAACTTTTAAATTTATTTAATTATAATTTCTGAGATCAAAATTTCTAACTAATTTTCTTAACAACTTTAATTACTTCATAATCAACAAAGAAGAATTTTTTTGTAGTAGATCTTATAGGTTTTTCATAATAACCAAATTTGTTATTACACACACTGTTGTATATAAAGTAAAATTAGAACTAGGATTATACATATGAAGATCATATCAAAATATGAACGATAAAACTTGCAAACATTCAAATTTGCATAATCACTAATTTTTACTCTGCTAAGGATTGAATTTTGTATATTGTTATTTTTCAATGAGAAAATAAAGCTATCATTAGTTTTTCCCATCTACTAGAATAATTAGCAACATTGGTATCCCAAATTAAAGAATTATAACCTCTAAGGATTTCTTCCGTTCATTTAACATTCATGATCACTACAGTACTAACAAGACCATGGCAGGTATCCCAAAACGTTCGAGGTGCAAATCCATTATACTTCCTCTTAAAATTAATGAAACTCATGAAACATTTGCTGAAGTATAAGTGCTCGATTTACGGTCAATCCAAGAGGAAATTTTAGCAACTTGCTCATTCACTGGTTGATCAGGAGCCATAAAACATTGATTCAAATCTTCCCAAAGTTGTTTATCAAGAATTTTCTTGTAAGTTTTTACTTTATTCCAAACATCAGTACCAGAAATATGGAAATATCGAATAAGTGGTAAACATTGTTGTAAAGTTGTTTTAAAAATTGTAAAATTTTCTTTAGTCCACTCTTCGAATTCTGTAGGTAAAGTGGAATTCCGAGCAATTCTCCATTTAATAAAATATTCTCAAAACTATAATTTCTTCTAATTGCAAATCTTCTCGTTTAAGGAGAGAAATCAATGCAGATTCTTGAAGAGAAGAGAAATCCTCGGCATCAAAAATAAGATTTGGATACTTTGCAATAATATCATTACAAAAATTATCTAAATTTTTGAAATTATTTTCACTAAAAATTGAACGATAAACTTGAGAAAATTGAGTCTTTAACCAATAACTTTATAGTTTCAATAAGATGATTTTCTAGTTTTTGGTTAATTCATCAATTTCAAATTCATTGGCTACCTTCATTAAATCAAAAATAAATCTTGTTTCTAATTCTCTAAATCAACAATCCATCATAAATATATCTTGCGAATAAACATTTCAATTATCAAAGCAATTTATTTTAATAGCAATTCATTATGATAGCATTTTTATTATTGGTAATAACTTACTTGAGAATTTCTTCAAAAATTTTATCGGAAATATTTGATTTATTAATTTTTTTGATATTATTTTCATTCGGAGTAACATTTTCTCATTCTTTACGAAAAAAGGTGATCGGCACTTTAACACATTTGAATGAGCTGTAAAGGATTTCCCATTTTCAACTGTAATAATTACATTATAATCCTTTATCAATAAATTTATCAAAAAATTTCAAAGGCATCTTTTTTAAAAAAATTGGGTGTGAAGAGAGATTCGATTATAACAGGTTTATTTTTTTTAAAAAAAAATATTTAATTGTACATATTCAAAAAGGATTCTTTTTACCCTGGCATCATCTCATCTCCCTTTAGATTTGTATTACTCTTTTTTTTTTTGTAGTCATTTTCTTAAAAAGTTCGATAATGTTAAATAATGATCAGTTTAAAATTTCATTTATGCATAAATCTTGATAAATCTTGATTATGTACTGTTCACTTTTTTCTTATTTTCTATCCCATTTATTTTTCCTATTCTTTAAGAATATTATTATGTCAGGTTTTTTAGGTCTTCCACTTTTGATATTAACTGATTCTTACAGAAAATTTCTCATCCATTTTTATATCCTGAAGCAAGCAAGATTTTTTTTGGAAATAAATAAATTATAACGTTTAATTTTGTTTTTGAATATTTTTATAATACCAAAAGCACGTTGCATATGGTGAGTTTATAGCTGGCTTTAATAAAGACGGGGAGGATACACGTCTAATATTTTATGGAATGCAATACATGTAATTGTTTTAAATTATTAAATAAATATTTAATAAACATTTAAGAATTATTAATTAATATTTAAAATACCTATTTTATTAAAAAAAAAATAATTTTTTTTTATATAAATACCACTAAAAAAATACAAGTTGCGTAAATGGAAAATTTAGATAAACTACTCATTTCATCTAAATTACTTTTAAAAAGTAAAATTACTGTGTTTAGTAACAAAAAACATGTGGCAATTGGGTCACGTGGAGTTTAAAAATAATGGAGTCGCAGAAATGTTGTCATTAAAGAATTAAACAACAGGAAAAAATGGGTGACAAAATTAATTGGTATGTATACATGTTCGAAAATTGATTTCTGATTTTGAGGTATTTTGTCTTTTAAGATTTTTGAGATATCTATTCTATATATGGAAATAAAAAATATCCAGTTTAATTGATTTTCAATCAAAGAATTTATCTGGGCGGTCAAAAAAATTTTGGATTTTAAGTAAAATTAAATCATCTTTTATGAAAAACTATTTTGACTTTTGGGCCAAAATGGTTGACTTACTATTATAATCTATTTTGCATGCAAGTATAGTATAAGAGCATGATTACATTAGACGTTAAAGAAATTATTAAAAATATCAACATTTGTTTTATATACATTCTTCAAACCAAAGAGGAATATAAAAGAAAAAATTATGCAATTATCTCCTTTAATTCAAAAGAAACTTTAGAAGAGGGAATAAATGAAGTGCTAAAACTGATGGATGGAGTTTAGCTTAGTATGGTTCCCATGTCATTTCATTGGCTCTATACTTCAATCATGGGTCTGATTCTCATAAAACAAAAGAATGTAACATTGTTAAATATCAAAAATAGATCATATCTAATAAAATAGAAAAATCAAAACAGTTTGAAAATTTATACAAGTGTTACAAACAAGACATTACTCTAGTCTTGTGAAAATTCCAAACAATAAAACTCACACGGATATATTAAAGAAAAATAATGGCAAGGAATAGAAAGTGAAGAAAAATCCTACAATGCAAGAACAGAATACAGTAGAATTCAATTATAATGAAGTGGCATTTGAAGTGATAGCTTCTAATATCACACATATAGCAAAAATGAGTGGAGCAATTAGAATTTAATAAAGCATGTCTTTAAATTACATGAAATTGAAGAGAAAGTTTACAAACAGGAAGTATGGATTAAAGAAACACTAAAGCTGAAAAAGCTTTTGAAAAGTATGTAAAATAGGCTATCATAGTAAGCCAAAATAGTTTTTCATAAAAGATGATTTAGTTTTACTTCAAACCCAAAATTTTTTGACCACCCAGATAAATTTTTTGATTAAAAATACATTAAACTAAATATTTTTTTTTATTTCCATATATAAAATAAATTTATCAAAAGTCTTAAAAAGATGAAATACCTCAAAAATTAAAATCAATTTTTAAAGAATGTATATAATCAATACTGTGAAACAGTTGGATTTGGTTTCAATGGACATGATTACATGTTTATTGACTTTTATTTTAATTTCTATTTTATTTAATTTAGCTTATTGAACAAATTTTAATCTTATGGGTCTATTATTGTATAGAACAATAGTTTTTGTTAATGTAAACAGACAAAGAATGAATTTCATCATATTGTATTGTTACCTAATTAATATATAATATATTAAGTCTTATTTTAAATTTTTATTGCTGTATTATTTATTTGGTATACTGTTCCTTACACCTTGAGCTCTTGGATGTGTCTATATTTCTTTCCAGCAAAGTTTTGCTCAGATTGGTTAAAAAGGGATGGAAGGCGGCATGACTATTAGATATCATAAGTGATGCAAAGGCAACAATCAGTCTTATTAAATCTTATTAAATGTAGGATTATTTTTTCCATGTAACTTGTTTACCAGTCAATTTAATTAATAAATTGTTCAATATGACATGAGTTTAAGAAAAAAAAATAAATATATAAATTTATTAAAGTTTAATTGTTAATTATTTCTTTTCTTCACATAATAAAGATTTGAAACTTTTATAATAGATGCACAAAATATTCTCTTCAAGATTACTTAGTATCATTTTTAAGATTTAAAATAATGTTTTATATGCAACGACAATTGATAATTTTCTTAAAACAGTAAATGATCAACAATAATTTCAATCATTTTTTAGTCGTGTCTAATTAAAGTTCTGATTTTAACTAGAAAATATAAAATATAAAACTAATTAAAGTTGTATATTTAGTATAGAACTATAACTTCTTATAAATATTAAACACTTTCAGCAAATAATTACTGAAATAAAAAGAGATTATTATTAATAATTTAATTTAATATTTTTGGTTGATCTTATTTAAGACAAGATTTTAAAATGAGCAGGCATCCAATTTGAATAAAAAAGATATCATACGATAACCCTTGATCTGAGAATTCTTTTCCAAAAAAGTAGTGCAATTTATTCATTGTTCCAAAATTCACTCTTGAAATTTTTTAAAAAATTTGAAAAAAAAGCTGTCTGGATACTTTTGGCAGGCTGGTGTATATTGTTAATTCAATTAATTAATACGAAAAATATCCCACAGAATTTTATAGTCTGTGAATATATCGCCAAGATTATCATTAGTAAACGTGGATAAATATTAATAAAACACATGTTTGGGTAAAGTAAATACTTTTAAATTTATTTAATTATAATCAATAAATATAAATAAATATGAAATATAAATTTAAAACAAATGTCATTAATTATTATCCGAGATCGAAAATTTATAACCAAAAATTAGTTACTAGTTTTCATAATAACCTTAAATACTTCATAATCAACAATTGAGAAATTAGTTGTAGTTCTTATAGGGCCAAAAATTGAGAAATCAGTTGCTCTCATAGGGTTTTCATAATGACCATAATTACTACTACACACACTGCCATTATCCAAAGTAAAATTAGAGTTAGGACTATGCATATAAAGATCAAACCCAAAATATGGTCCAAACGTCTTTTGATAAGTTTTGCAAACATTACCAATTCCATACTCAAGAATTTTAACTCTGCTAAGAATTGAATCTCGTATATTACCATTTTTCAATGAGAAATAAAGCTATCATTAGTTTCTCCCCAACTTTCAGTGCATTAGCATCCCAAATTAAAGGATTATAACCTCCAAAGATTTCTTCTGTTCATTTGACTTTCATGATCACTACAGTACTAGCATGACCATGGCAGGTATCCCAAAACGTTTGAGGATTAAATCCATTTATACTTCCTCTTAAAATTAATTGAAACTCATATGGAGTATTTGTTAAAGAATAAGTACTCGATTTACGATCAATCCATGAGGAAATTTCAGCTACATTACTCGATTTACGATCAATCCATGAGGAAATTTCAGCTACATGTTCGTAAGTAATAATGGTGGAAAGTGGTTCTGTTGTACGGGTGGGCAATTCTTGAACTAAAATTGTTCTTGGTGGTAAATTTATTGATTTCACTGGTTGGTACGGGGCCATAAAACGTTGATTCAGGTCTTCCCAAAGTTGTTTATCAAGAATTTTCTTGTAAGGTTTTACTTTATTCCAAACATCAGTACTAGAAATATGGAAATATCGAATAAGTGGTAAACATTGCTGTAAAGTAGTTTTTAAAATTGTAAAATTTTCTTTAGTCCATTCTTTGAGTTCTGCAGGTAAAGTGGAATTCTGAGCAATTCCCCACTTGATAATATATTCCCAAACTTTAATCTCTTCTAATTGCAAATCGTCTCGTTTAAGGAGAGAAATCAATGCAGATTCTTGAAGAGAAGAGAAATCCTCGGCATCAAAAATGAGATTTGGATACTTTGCAATAATATCATTACAAAATTTTTTCAAATCTTCGAAATTACTTTCACTAAAAATTGAACAATAAATTAGAGAAAAATGAGTCCTTAACCAAGAACTTTTAGTTTCAATAAGATGATTTCTAGTTTTTTGGTTAATTCATCAATTTCAAATTCATTAGCTGCCTTCATTAAATCAAAAATAATCCTTGTTTCTACATTCTCTAAATCAACAATTCATCATAAATATATCTTGCGAAATAAATAATCAAAGTTAATTTATGTAATTTGTTATAATAGCATTTTTATTATTGAATAGTAATAGTAATAACTTACTTTAGAATTTCTTCAAAAAATTTATCGGAAATATTTGATTCATTAATTTTCTTGATATCGTTTTCATTCGGAGTAACGTTTTCTAATTCTTTACGAAAAGACGGTGATCGACACTTTAGCACATTTGAATGAGCCGTAAAGGATTTCTCATTTTCAACTATAATAATTACATTATAATCATCTTTATCGTTAAGAAGTTCAATAAATTTATCAAAAAATTTCAAAGGCATCTTTTTAAAAAAATTGCGGTAAAGACGATGTGAAGAGAGATTCGATTATAACGGGTTTAAAAATTAAAAATTGGTATAGTATAGTAATAGTGATAGGCATTTTATTTTTTTTAAAAAAAAATATTTAATTGAGAATTCAATTGTACACATACAAAAAGGATTTTTTTTTTACCCTGGCATCATCTCATCTCCCTTTAGATATGTATACTCTTTTTTTTTTTTTTGTAATAATTTTCTTAAAAAGTTCGATGATGTTAAATAATGATCAACCAGTCCTGTTTAAAATTTCATTTATGCATAAATCTTGATAAATCTTGATCATGTAACGTTCACTCTTTTCTTATTTTCTATCCCATTTATTTTTCCTATTCTTTAAGAATATTATTATGTCAGGTTTTTTAGGTCTTCCACTTTTGATATTAACTGATTCTTACAGAAAATTTCTCATCCATTTTTATATCCTGAAGCAAGCAAGATTTTTTTTGGAAATAAATAAATTATAACGTTTAATTTTGTTTTTGAATATTTTTATAATACCAAAAGCACGTTGCATATGGTGAGTTTAGAACTGGCTTTAATAAAGACGAGGAGGATACACGTCTGATATTTTATGGAATGCGATACATGTAATTGTTTTCAATTATTAAATAAATATTTAATAAATATTTAAGAATTATTAATTAATATTTAATTTATATATATATATATATATATAAAGAATTGAAAATTATGTAGCGAAAAGATGGACTCTTGAAGATGTAGAATTGGCAGAACAATTCCTTTCAACTCATAATGATAATTATACAAATTTTCCATTTCACAAGGAATTATTTCTGAAAGTTAGTAATCAAAATTGTTGTTTTGATTATTCTTGCATGACATATTAAATATTTCATATTTAAATTATTTTAAAATAGTTCATCAAAGAAAATGATGGATATTTCCCTGTGAAAATTGAAGCATTACCGGAAGGAACTTGTTGCCACGTGCATACCCCAGTCTATCAAATTATAGCTGAAGGGGAATATACACCTTTGGTCACATTTTTAGAAACTTTGCTTACTATGATTTGGGTAAATTTCAAATTATTAAAAATTTTTTCTTAGTTTAAAATTATTTATTAATTATTATATATATTATTTCATCCAATTCATTTAGTATCCATCAACCGTGGCAACTCTTTCGCGTCGTGCACGCGATATAATTGAAGAGGCTTTTGAAGACACAGTGGATGAAAGCGGATATTTTCTTTTGGAAAGGTAAAAAAAAATAAAATAATAATTGTTATTCATAATCATCACTATCATCATTATTCACTCAAAATTATTATACTAAAAAAATGATTTGACAATATTTAACAAATTATAAAGTCGATTGCAAGATTTTGGATTTCGTGGTTGTACATCACTTGAACAATCTATTATTGGTGGTTCTGCGCATCTGGTAAATGTTTATTCTATTGCAAACTTTTTATTGAATTTTTATGATACTAATTAAAATTATATTTAAATTTTCTTAATTATAGATCAACTTTACAAGGTCGGCTACAATGAGTGCTGGATATTATGTTCAATACAAGATTAATAATGGGAAGCCTATCGGATTATCTATTCCTGCTACAGAACATTCCGTAATGCTTTCTCACAAAACTGAGAAGGTAATTATTATTTTATATTGTACGATTACGATCAATACAAGAAAAAAATTTAAAATTAAAATCTAAATTTTAAATATTAAATCTAAATATAAATTTTATTTAGGATGCATTATCTCGATTAATTGATCGTTTCGGAAGTGGTCTATATGCTTGCGTTATGGATACTTTTGATTACGCTAATGCATTGGAAAATATTGTACCAGCAATTGCTTCTCAAAAACTTGAGAAGGGTGGTTTCTTGGTTATCAGACCTGACAGTGGAAATCAAGTAGAAGTTGTATTAATGGCTCTTAGGTATTACACACAGTATAAATACTTATTACATTATTGAATATCGATATTATTAACTATCTATATTATTATTATTTAATTTCATTACTTATTTATTGGGTTTTTTTTTCCTTTTCAATGATTTAGAGCTGAAGAAAAAATATTTGGATGCGATGTTAATAAAAAAGGATATAAAGTGATGCGTAAATGTGGGGTGATTCAAGGTGATAATGTTACCATTCATTCTTTAAAAGCTATATTGAAAGCTATTAAAGAAGCTGGATATTCAGCACAAAATGTTTTATTTGGTATGGGAGCTGGTCTATTACAAAAAATCAATCGTGATACCATGAGCTTTGCCACCAAACTTAGTCATATCAGATATGCTGATGGAACTGAAAGGTTTGATATCTTTTCTTTTAGCATTTAATAGAAATTATTTTAATTATTTTATACATATAATTTATGTGATGATGCTATTAGGAACATCATGAAAATTCCCACAATGGATTCAACGAAAATCAGTTTGCCTGGTGAATTTGTTGTCAAGAGGAATGAATTAGGGGTTAATATTTATAATTTCTATCTATTTATTCTAATTTATATTTATTATAATTGTAAAATAAATAAAAAATATTTTATTTTATATTGTATATTGTATAGGTTCCAATTACTTATCCCAAAGAATGTTGTCCACCTAATGATCCCGATAATCTTTTACGTGTAATTTATGATCATGGGAAAGTTGTCGAATGGGATGATTTTGATACAATTAGAAAACGAGTTGCTAAAGAATGGAAAGCTTTACCAAAATTCTATAATAACATTAGTCCAGAACTTAAATCAAAGATCGATAAAGTTACTCAGGAACTTAAGAATAATTGAATATTTTTAAAAAACGATATTTAAATTATTTTTAATGGTTAGGAATTTCAGTAGTGGATGATGACGCGCCGCCACAAGTTAAATTCCTTAAAATTAAAGCTTATAAATTAATTTTAGATTTTTAAATTTTTATTTTTATAGTTATTTTTTTGATCTAAATATTATTAGAATACATAAATTATGAATTAGGTTTACAACTTTAAACGAAGCAATGATCCGGAACTATTTAAATTTTCATCGATTCACCATCATCCAATTTTCTTACCAATGTAAAATGTCAAACATTAGAAATGTTTTTCCTTCTGCATACACTCATTGAGTATAGAAATTATGGAAAATACGATTCAGATAATTTATAAAAATAACTTACAATAATAATTTAGATTATAAAAATTTCAAATTTATTTATTGTATTCTCTTTAATAAAAAATTATAGCGTAATCATTTTTTGTTAAAGTGATGAACCTATGATAAAATTCAAAATTCTATACGTGTAAATGATCTACCTGCTTTTTAAATTTAAAATCGAATCCTGATTTTTTTTTTTTTTGATTTTTAAAAAATGTCTTTGAAATTTTTTGATAAATTATCCCAAAACTTTATTGAACTTCTTAACGATAAAGATGATTATAATGTAATCATTGAAGTTGAGAATAAGAAATCCTTTACGGCTCATTCAAATGTGTTAAAGTGTCGATCCCCTTCTTTTCGTAAAGAATTGGAAAACGTTACTCCGAATGAAAACAATATCAAAATAATTATTAAACCAAATATTTCCGATGAAATTTTTGAAGAAATTCTCAAGTAAGTTAGTGATACTGTAATATAATAAGTTAAGTTTCAATAGATTAATAATTAATTTTAATTTTTTCAATAAAGATATATTTATGGTGGAATCATTAATTTAGAGTATGCAGAAACTAGATTTATTTTTGATTTGATGATGACTTCTACTGAATTTGAACTTGAAGAATTGACAAAAAAATTAGAAACTCTTCTTATTGAAACTAAATTGACCAAGGAATTGGAAACTTTTCTTTTAGTAGCTGAAGGTTCTTGGTTAATGACTAATTTTTCCCTAGTATATCGTTCAATATTTAATAGGATTGACCTTGAAGACCTGCAATTATTTTGTAATGAAATTGCCGCAAAATATCCAACTCTAATTTTTGATGCTGAAGATTTCACTTCTCTTCAAGAATCCGCATTGGTTTCTTTCCTTGAACGAGATGATTTGCAAATGGAGGAGATTAAAATTTGGGAATATATTATTAAATGGGGAATTGCTCAGAATCCCACGTTACCTGCAAATCTTAATGAATGGATTAAAGAAAACTTTACAGCTTTACAAATCACTCTTAAACAATGCCTACCACTAATTCGATATTTCCATATTTCTAGTACTGATATGTGGAATAAATTAAAACCTTTCAAGAAAATTCTTAATAAAAAACTTTGGGAAGATTTGAAAAAATATTTCTTAGCTCCTGGTCAACCAATAGAATCAATTATTTTGCCACCACGAACTGCCGAACCACTTTCCGTTATCATAACTAACGAACACATAGCCGAAATTTCCTCTTGGATTGATCGTAAATTAATAACTTATTCTTTGATAAATATTCCATATAAATTTAAACTAATTTTTCGAGGAAGTATAAATGGATTTGAACCTCAAAAGTTTTGGGATACATGTCATGGTTATTCTAATACGGTAGTAATTATGAAAGTTAAGGAAACTGATGAAATTCTTGGAGGATACAATCCTTTGACTTGGGATGCAAATGCTATTAAAGATGTTTGGAAAGCAACTAATGATAGTTTCATTTTCTCATTGAAAAATGGCAAATTACAAAATTCAATTCTTAGCAGAGTAAAAAAACCTCAAAATGCAATTGGGAATGTTGGCAAAGATAAACGAAAAAATTATGGTCCATATTTTGGGAATCATCTTTATATGCATAGCCCTAGTTCTAATTTTACTTTAGATAATAACAGCTGTATTTGTAATTATTGTGGTCATTACGAGATACCTATTAGAACTGCAAAAGATTGTTTCTCAATTGTTGATTATGAAGTATTTGAGATTATTAAGAAGAAAACTAGTTAGAAAATTTTAATTTTAAAAATAAAAATAATAATTAATGATCTATCTTATTTTTTTCTATTTATATTTTATTATTAAATATTTAAATATTTTTATCTTTATATTTCCTTAATTTTTTTAATGACCTTTTTTTCTTGACTTTTTTTTCTTTGCTTCAATAATTTTCAACTTCTACGAAACTATTTAAAAATAAGCTTTTATTTTACATTTATTTAATCCTAATTACGAGTCATTTGTTATTGGTGAAATTTTAGGACTAATAATTGATAGAGAATGTGAAGCAGGCTTTAGAAATAATAACTCAAGCTGAAAATTTAAAGATATTGCAGTTGGTGATGAAGACGATTTATGAGATTTTGACTGTAGACTCGACTTCAACTACATGTGCAGGCGAATAGGGTCTCCTTTTTTAATAAACTTACACACTAGCTTAACCAGAAATATATTTATATCTTTATAATATATAAATGAAGGAATTAATCTGTCTTGACAATAGATTAGATGATATAATAAAATGAAATTAATACAATGTATATTCAAATCCAAAAGTTTCTTGCTTCTTTATTCATTAGATGATTTAATATAAACAGAAGAACAGAAGCGATTTATTTCCAACTAATAAAGATAGGTTTACTCCATGGTATCTGATCCGATCCCAGGATAATTAGGATCTCTTCATGTAAAAATTTCGTAATCAGAAGGCACCAGTGGTTAAATTGATATCTATGCCTTTAGAAATATTTTCAAATTTAAATTTGACAATGAATATAAAATTTTTAATTTTATTCAAAGAAAAATGATATTCAAATAGATATAAATAAATGTGCATACCGGTTTTATTAATGTTATGTTATGAATGGATGAAAAGTCTGTGTTCAGTTTTTATAATAAAAAGTCTTATTTGTGTTCAGTTTATTATGAAGACTCTTGTCAATCTTGACCAAAGAATTACAAATAAGGAAACTGTTTGCATAAAAAACTATCAACCGTTCTTATATATATGTATATTATGTTATCTTTTTTTAGTTTTTATTTTTATAATCTTTTTTTAGATTTTTTTATTTTTATAATTAATTTCTAAAAATTGAAATTTTAAGAAAATCGCCATATATGAAATCATATACTTTTAAAGATTTTTTGTTTGGTGCTACACTAAAAATAGATAACAATGTTAAAAATTTCTAAAAAAAAAAATAGATCATCAAAATTAATATTGTTATCTATTTTTAGAAATTTTCTAACTAAAAAAATTAAAAAAATAGATCATCGAAATTGATTTTTTTTTATTTTAAGAAAATTTATTATTCATTATTCACTTTTTTCTAATTTTCTAAAAAAAAATAATCATTAAAATTGATATTTTATTTAAACTGTTTACAAAATAAAAAAACAAATAAACAGATTTACTAATTATTTTTTGAAGATAAATTATTTATTCATTACTAAAAAAAAAATTTGAAATTATTATCTTGATAGATAAACAAATAAATAAATTATTTAAAGGAATTATTATTTATTTTCTTAAAATTTTTTCTTAAAAAAAATAAAC